TTATAAACCAACTTTTAACTGGGGGGCACAACATTGTATGATTTTCTACTAATGTCTAGTTGGCACTGGACAGCAATACTGTACCATCCCCAAACCGTTTCATCGACCTGAGGTCATGGGGTCTGATCCTCCCCCGGAATCGTGCGTGGAACACGGACCATGCCAGGTGGTTCAAATAGCAGTTGTAATTATAAATCACTAAGTCACCCCATTTATGGAATAATAACACCATTGAAACAACCATTGAAACAACCATAGACATCAATTTTTAGAACCATTGATGTAATCACACCATTTATGGAATAACATGAAGTAAAAACACCATAGAAATAACCAATTATAATCATAGAACAATTTATAACCATAAAATTAACCATTTGAAAAAATATAACCATAAAATAAAAACAACCTTATTGACACTTTGAATAATTTATAACATATAACCCTGTATAATTCACAACCATTTACCACCAATTTCTTGGGACCTACTGTCCGCGCCCATAGACATCCCCATCGCCTCTTCAAGTTCCTGCACCTCGAGCATGAAGAAATGCTGGAGTGATTCAGTGATTTTTGGGGCCGGGAGAATCATGGTTGAATGATGTTCAATGGTGATTCATAGTGTTTAATGATGTTTAATGGTGATTAATAATGGTTTAATGATGTGTAATTGTGATTCATCATTGTTTTATAGTGATTAATAGTCATGAATGAAGAAATGCTGGGCAAAAATGGCATTGGAGATGTGTTGTAGGGTAATGGGAGAGACCATTTGTAATATATGGAAACCATGGTAATGGATGGTAATCACTCCCAAATTGTATGCTAATTGATGGCTCTTAACTCAATTATTATGGTCAATGGTAAATGGATCATCCCACATGTTCAAACGGTTGCTGAATGGATCATCCCACGGATCATGGCTATAGTAACCATACGTAACTACGTAACCCAGTTATAAATGGGATAGTCCCACTGAATGGGGGCTGAATGCCAGCTGTTTCTAAGTGGATGAACCTCAAATTGCAAATGACTTGGATTGTTTCAGTATCAAAGCATGGTGGTTTTGATGCTGTGTTTATCCATTGAAACAAGGATTTGACCATCAGCAAATATAGTTTTCATAGTTGATGCAGGAAGGGGTCCCCAAAAGATATTTCATCCGGCAAACTAGGAGCTGCGGGTGGTATATTTATATTGAATTTATTCAGCTATCTCTTTTTATACATTCTATATACAATATATGTCCAGAAATGTGATATACACCAATTGATGGTCATTTATGATGATGAACCATGGGGTTTTGGCTTTCAAAGTCTTGAGAAAATCGATCAATGTATCAGGAAAATTATTTTCATGGGTTTATTTCCTCATAAAATATCAATTTCCCAGTAAACTGGCTAGAAGACCATATTTCTATAAACTGACTGTCATTCTTCTCCTTGATCAACTGCCCCAGGGACAAAAATACCACATGTCCTGTCACAAAATACCAAATTTGCGTGGACTTGACTCAGGTTGCGATGCAACCTATGGCAACTTGGGCAAGGTTGACTTGGGGATGAGTCCAACTGATATTAATGTGATGAGTTACAGCTATTCTAAGGCGAATTCCAAGGTTTGTTCTCGATATATCTACAATGTGGGCCCCCCCAGTTATAAGATTGTTTATAAACCCCATGAATACTATAGTTATAGGTACCATAAACCAGAGTGAAATTGGAGCTATTTGCACCAACTGAACGCTATCGTAAATGGGGGGCCCACTTTGTAGCCGAGCTCATGCAACCGAAATCTGGTCACATGACTGATGATGACTGAGAAAAACCCTCAGTCATGTGTGGTGTACTCTTCCCAGGTGAGAGAAGTCTGTAAACAGAAACCTCAAAAGCTCATTAGTAATGGATGCGCATTCCCCCAAGGCAAAAACGTCAGTTCTAATCCATCCCCAAGTAATCAAGATTATCTACATGTCTGGTGAATGATTTAACATGATGTTGATACTTGGACAATGATCTGGGTAAATTATAATATTTCACTAACCTGAATAGGATGATTTCCCTTACTAACTATGATTTCCAGGGTTCGGGAGAACAGGCTTCGGTCGTGATGAAATTTACCCAGATGGTTGATCTTACCCCCATCGAAAGTGCCATATATCGAGGCATCCGCCAATTCGGGAAAATCCAAATATCATCTGGTTGGTGGTTTCAACCCCTCTGGAAAATATTAATCAAATGGGAGTATGATTCCCAATATATGGAAAAATAACAAATGTTCCAAACCACCAACCAGTCATGGCATTAGCTGTATTCCTAGACATATCCTCAATTACATGCTCAACATTGCTCAACTATATCCCTACTTTGCTTGGGCGTCATCCCAGAGAGTAAGTGGACAATCATCAATCCACGAAAGGCGTTTTGCATGGAATATCGCCTGATAGATCGATGGCTTGTATATGGGGCACATGGGCAACTAAAAACACCTACTAACTGGCTGCAATAACCACACGGTGGTGCACCATAGGTCGCTAAGCTTGTTTATATCTCCAATAAGTAGATATAAGTAGATGGTTTATAGCTCCAATTACCACGGTTATGCTAGACATATCGAACTACTTTAATGGAGGCTACAGGATGGTGCCTCCCCCATTTATTTGCGTTTGTTTATAAACCCCATTAACGTGTTCGTTAAAATATCTACCATAAAACCATAGAATTCGGCCACTGATGTTCGGCAACTGAACGCGAACTCGAACGGGGGCCCCATCCATAGACTAACAAACATTAACACAACCCTCGGGTCCCCTGGTTCAGCGCACCTTCTGCGATGCCGCGACAACCAGCTCGAAGTTGGCTTTCTGCGGATGAGACATCTTGGGCTCTCAGTTGAATGGATTTGTTTAATGGAAAACTACCGCAGTTATGGCCATGGCTATACACGTTATAACTGGTGAGTAATGGTGATTTATAGTGGTTAATAGCGGCAACAAAGTGGCTAAACATGTGATTCATGATGGTTATAACTGGTTATTAATTGGGATTAGACATGAACCATTTTTATGGGGTGACTTTTTAGTACGGCCATAACTGGTATAACTCGGACCAGAACTGTACCATGAAACCATATATTATGAATGCAAATTCCCATTTACTGTTGGTAAATCCCGAATTGGGTTAACTGAGCAGTGTGAAATAAATCCCTCTATCATTCCATTTAATCCTGGTGGTTTATCGGGATTCCCCTGTTCTTGGATTATTCGAATCCCCAATATAAAAAGGGTAGTATAATCCCGCATGATTCTGATCATCAACCAACCAGGGTTTAGCAGCCACTGCTCAATTGGGGACCCAACCATGTGGTGTTTCCAAAGGTCCATTGAAGAAATGGCATGTTTTATGAACGAACATTCCGAACGCTGGCTGCTTGGTGTTCATGTGGAGTGTGTGCTTGTGGATTAAGATATCCCGAATACACAGCCAGGGCAGCGTGATGTTTATGTAAAAACATATATTATTATGTATATACATAATCAATAGACAACTGCCAGCAAGGCACCATAATAATCCATAATAGGGATTAATGATCGTAATAATGGGTGAATAATCAAATGTATGGGCTTAGTAAAGGGCTTATTAACCAGGAACAATAGTAAGATCAATGGGAATTCCGGATCCTAAATGGGAGGTACCTACCATATATAAGGTCTATTTTTCAGGCCTATGTAAGGGAATATCCCAACAAAATATGGCCTTATATGGTACGGTACCTCCATTTTAGGATCCTGAAATTCCCATTGGCCCAGTTATAACGTGGTTTATAAACCCCATTAACTGTAGTTATATCTACCATGAACCATAGTTAAGTCACAACTATGAGGCAACTGAACGCTATGGAACGGGGGCCCCATCCTGCATGTAAGGGCGAATATTAACAATCTACCAGTACTATGGGCGAGGTCCCCTAGGGGGCGTGGCTGTTTTTTCCGCGATCGTGTGCATCTCACAAAACTTACAGTGTGTCTAGGTTACCTTACAACCCCATGATGATACCAAAGAACTGGCAAGGTCGGTGAACCTTTAAATAAATAAATATTTATATATATATGATTATTTATTTTACTATTTTTGAAATTGTAAATAAATGTTGCGTCATCAAGCAAACATAAAATTTGGGTTGTGAATCCAAGGTTTTGATGGCTTGAATCGCCTCGTCAAATCATGTAGAAAAACCACAGGTGGTGTGTGAGTGAATTCACCTTCTAATGTTTTATTTTTAAGGGATTCAAACAGTAAACTGTTGGTAGTTCCTTCTATTCTTCAAGAGCGACCTTCTATGCCCACACCTTTTTGATCAAGTTGCTCAGGAAGAAATGACAGTGCTAAGTCCAAAGACAGCCAAATAAAAATCCAGTGGCACCTGCCCAATGCAAAGCAAAAAAACATGCTTGCAAGCAAGATCATATCCTTGCAGATCAGCTTTCAACATGCTGAAGGTGCCAGTTACGACATGTTGGCAAAGCCACGTTTTCAAACCCAAGGACCTTGCTAAGGACTCCAGGGTGCTGTCAATGCGTCCGCCAGATTGCTTACTTCCAATATATTAGTTCCAGCATATAGCTAACTTGATTGATAACTACAATAGCTAGGGTTGATTAGGGGGATCTTTATAGTTAGATGGAGTTACAAAACTTGTAGCTAGGGGGGCCCACTATGAACCAATAACGTTGTTATCAATGACAATGTCACTAGGATTATGCATCACACATGGTTAATCATAACAAATGTTATCAATGGCACAAATGTTATCAACGCTTATCAACCTACAAATGACAATCATCATCATTAACACATTGAAAAACTATTACTGATTGTGATATCACTATGTATTATTAACTTAAGTTATAAGTAATTAATAATGATTGTAATATCACTATATTATCACTATTTATGAACCATTCAGAACCAACAAATCACTATTTCTGACTGGTTAACCACTATGAAAATACCAATCACTATATATATATACTAACCATTATGTATTAACATAGTGGTATGAATCATGTAATCACTATATTATCACTATATTATCACTGATTAATACTTATATTGACCCTTCAGAACTACCTTTCTTAAGAATTTACCTTTTTGTTACTTCCACATCTTGCGCGCCTCCTGGCTGGGCTCTTCCAACATCAACGCCAACTCGGCGCGCACCAAACGCCTCAGGATGTGAGCATAGCTCCAATAACTTGGGCTTTGCAGTGTATGTATGTATGTATATATATATATACATATATATATATATATATATCTGGGTGAAGTATAATAATTCACTAACCTGAATAATTCACTAACTTGGATTTAATGGAATGTAGTAGTTTTTATCCGAACATGTTCGATGGGATTTAATGGGATGTCTTCATTAACTGGGAAGTTCATCTATAAATGGTAATTCAATGAGGTTTAGCATGGTTTCATTGAATTTAATGGTGACTGTTGTCTACTTGATTGGTGAAATGTCACTGGTTGAACCTGGATTATTGGGATTATTCTGGGTGAATTATAATGGTTCACTAACCTGAATAGTTCGGCAATTTGGGGATGATTTGCCTATAAAAACCATGATTCCAGGGTTCGGTCGCAGTGAGGTCGTTATAATTTACCCAGATATATAGTACTGAAATAATTAACGGGGTCGTAAACCAACTTGTGAATCATGGTTAGCTGAAGTTTTTTGTGTGATATAACTGACCAGAATATTCGGATAATAGTGGGACACAACTAACCAACAATCAAGTTTACAGAAGCTGGGGCCAGACCATGTTGGTGAACACAACTAGGTGGAGTCTTGGGTTTTTGCTGTCACGAACTCATGGGGGTTGTAAACCAACAAACCACCTGGTGGGGATGAAATGGAGCTACCCCCATAGCTGCATGGTTTATTTCATGGAAAATCCCATTAAAATAGCTGATGACTGGGGATACCCCCCTTTCAGGAAACCTCCATATTTGGACATACTGGAAACCATCATGAGATGGGATCTGGATGGCGGTACGAATAGGCAGTCAAAGTGGGGACTTCAACATGTGCGAATGTGGATTTGACCAAAAACATGCAGGATGGGCCCAGTTATAAGTTGGTTTATAAACCTATAATCCCCATTAACTATAGTTATATCTACCGAGGATAATACTCGAAGATTGTGCGGTATCTCGAGACTTTTCCAGTCTTTCTTTTCAAGACTTTTCAAGATTGTGTCCAAACATGCTTCCGCTGAAGATCGCAACCTGCCTGACTGGCTTTCAAGCTGCTGATCTGAGGCGACAAAAACTGAACCAAAAGTCACTGAACCTTTTTTGTTTCTCATTGGCTGCGCAATTTCACCAAAGATCCCTACCTCTGCAGAGCACTGACAGGCCCATTCATTTCTCCAGGTTCGTAACCGCTCCTAGGCGAACAGCCACTATGTCTGTCAAGGAGAGTACACCCCGAGACAAGACGAACATAAACACCTCGGTAGGGGCTGCCTCGATTGCTCTCTTTGCTGGATCATCCAGCACTGCGCATATGTCGTATGGATTCGGGGTCACCGGCGGCATTGCCGAAAGTTCGGAGCACCATTGCGCTGCAGTAGTCCAATTCCCTTGCTTTGGGAAAGACTGTTCCACTTCTCCAGGCACATGATCTGTGACGATATATCCTTGATATATCCTCTGTGGCTTCCGTGACTTTCTGGCTGAGCTCGCCCACAACCTGTGCAAAAACTGAAAGCAAAACATCAAAATTGAAATCAACAGCTGATGGCCTCTGCAGTTTCCGCGGCGAACCCTTCCAGGTTGCTCACTGCACCTAGGCGAGAAATTTCATCACATTCTGCTGGAAGCAGTGCCGCTGCAACTTGTCTGGCGAAGTATAGCTGAGAGCTTCGCTCAAGAGGATGCCTGAGTTCATGCTGACGAATGCTACAAATTTGGATAGGAAATTGTCTCTCGGGCTTTTCCGAATTTATGGCCTGTTGAATGGTGGACATGGCATTCCTACAGGGTCGCACCTAAGAAATTCAACCATAGGGAATCTGAATCTACGCGAAGAAAACATTATAATGAACCCATCGGGAATCTACAAAGTGGGGCCCACTAGATAGCCAAGTTGGTTTATAACTCCAATAACTATGGTTTATGGTACCTATAACTATAGTTCGCATGGGGTTTATAAACCATCGTTCCATCACTGGGGGGCCCCACATTGTACCTGGAATGGTCTGAAAAAGGCGAGTTACATCGCGTTGTAGAGTGAAGCAAATGCCCATTCTACTCCCAACTAACCTAATGGGGTTTCCATAAATATGGGGGATCCCAATAGCTGGTTGGTTTATAACGGAAAAAAACCAACTAAAAGTAGATGATTCCCAAAGTGGTTAGTTTTCTATGGAAAAACATTAAAATCGATGATTTGGAGGTACGAGTACCCCCATTTCAGGAAACCCTCAAATATTACATATGAATGATCAATCCCGCACCAATCCTTTAACATGCCCCATCCAAGGTGGATTAAATCAATAACGTCATTTCCCATGTTCAGAGTTCATCTTCCTATTATTCCCTTGTAGCAAAAAAACAGATTAAAGCAGGCTTTTCCAGAGACCAACCCACTATATCTAGCTACAATGTTCTGAGTCTTCTCACGTCCCGATGGATTGGGTATATAGTATATAATCACAATCATCATTATCATCATCATCATCGGCAGCATCATCATCACCATCATCATCCTATATATATATACACATAATATATAAATAATAGCATGTTATGTATTGCAGAACACTGACTACCTTAATCAACATCGTCATATACATGTGTATGTATATATCTATATATACGTATATTTACATACACAAATCTATAAATGCAAATATACTACCAAACAAATATATATTACATTGTAGACCAGCTGCTGCTACCGAGCAGCTGCTCTAAGTCCTTCAGCTCTGCCGGACCTTTGCCCTGCGAAGCTGCGCAACAGATTTCATGAGATTTAAGCACATCACCATAACATTAAACACCACCTAAATGTTTCCAAATATGTGATCCCGAAAAAAAAGCCCATGGCTTCTTGTAAACCATATTACAGCTATAGCACTTAACAGTTATATTTGGTTTATAACATTTTATAACCTCATTTAAGTGATATATAACCTTAGTTGCAGGAGTTGTTCCAGTTATGACGGTTCAAGGCCATAATTTTATTATGTGGTCAAACACGTGAGATATCATTGGAATACAATGTTGGATATAAATGTGATATAATTATAATGGGATACAGTTATGGTCCCTTACCAGTTATAAGTACTAACATAACCCGATTTATGGTTCATGTATAATCCAATTTATAATCAGTTATAATTGATAAATGGCAATTAAATTACTGTGTATAATGTCTTATTTTGGGGGTGGCAAATGCGACGTCATTGGGCTATAACAATTACTATAGTCCATGGAATATACAAAGTGGGGCCCCCAAACGATAGCGTTCAGTTGGTGAACATCACTATGGTTTATGGTACCTATAACTATAGTATTCATGGGGTTTATAGGTTTATAAACCATCGTTCCATCACGTTTGGGGGCCCCACATTGATAGGATTTCAACCAGAACAAATGTCGTGATATCACCACGGGATATCATCGTGATGACAAAATGGTATGGCTGGTATGGTATCCATATTATTATTAACCATCATTAACCATATAATAACCATATAGTAACCATTATTAACAATATATTTATAGTATGTTAACCAACCAACCAGATACAATGTGGGGCCCCCAAACGTGATGGAACGATGGTTTATAAACCCCATGAAAACTATAGTTATAGGTACCATAAACCAAAGTTATTGGAGTTATAAACCAACTTAGCTATTGTTTGGGGGCCCCACTCTGTCTGGTATCAAGTTTCTAAAGCTTTCTGGGCTGGCTGGCAAATCTTGATGAGATCGTGTTTCCATGCTATACCCCTTTCAATCCAAGATAAAATACCCTCTGATAAACTAACATAGCTATTGAACATGGCCCATTTATAGTTGATTTACCTATTAAAGATTGTGATTTTTCATAGCTTTGTTAGTTTACCAAATGGTTGTATATATATATATGTATACATATTCAATACGCCCTGCCCAGAATAAGTTTACAGTGGCACGCATCTCTGAGCCCAACCCGAAAAGCTCCATCTCAACCCCATTTGACGTAGTATGCTCTCACACAACCCCAAAAATAATGGAACCACCGACCATTTCGTGCCATATAGTTGATCTGCTTGGCGGCTCGCCCCAAGTAGAAACTTGATCATGTCCCTGATTCGTCAGTCACCTAAAAATAGTGGTTCACCCGTGTATAAGATTGTATAAGTGGGTAGGAAGACATAGGTACGACTATGTGCAGACCATTTTACCCAGGGGAAACAGGAAACACACAGTATATTTCCGTAGGTTTTGTTCATAACCGAAAGGGTGGTTGCAGTTATGGCCATGTATTCTTAGTTATAACTGGTCATTAACCTATGGGATTATACATGAACCAGTGGGGTGACTTCTTACTACTTTTAACTTATAAGATCTTATACCCTCTGGTAAACTAACATAGCTGTTGAAAATCATCATTTTTAGTGGGCAAATCAACTAAACATGGCAATTTTCACTAGCTATGTTCAATTTTCTAAACTCCAGTCATAACTGGATTAAATCCCATTAACCATGGCAAATCAACTAAACATGGCAATTTTCAATAGCTATGTTAAACTTTCTACACTCCAGTCATAACTGTAGTAAATCCCATTAAACGACTATTCATATCCCATTCAGTGACTAGTTCCATATTCAATCAGTAATATGGGGTGACTTCTTAGTACTTATAATAACTGGTATAACTCCAGTCATAACTGTATTAAATCCCATTCAACATGGCAAATCAACTAAACATGTCAATTTTCAATAGCTATGTAGCAAATTACCAGAGGGTAACAGTAAGGCTAAGTATAACTCCAGTCATAGTTTACCTTTTGATGATCCCTTCCATCCTCCAGCCTTGGCATTGACCTGCGGCCGTGCTTGGAAAAGCATGGGCTGTGTTGGATTTGATAAAGGCTACGGGTGAAACATGGTGAAGCATGGCCAGCAAAAAGCGACAGAATGACGCTAAAGTGTGACTCGCTGGTCGAACGCTCTCAAAGGAATCGTTCAGCGAAGGGTCTTTCCAATGGCCGAGAGGATGGCCTGACCTCCCGAATTCGTGGCATGGCTGAACTTGCACCATTCACCATACCAGCACTTACCTCGCATGTGGAACCTGCAACGTTTGACCTTGATACCGGCGTACTAGCCATCATTCCAGTGAGGTCGCAGTGAGGTCGTTATAATTTACCCAGATTTATGGTTTAATCACCACTAAGCCACTATTTTTCTCACCGTTAAGCCCCATAAAAAAGTTTTCCAAACCACCAACCAGATCATATATGCTTGATATGTATACTGGATTGCCCAAGGAGCCCAAAATCTTTTACCGCCGGGTCAGACCATGCTGATGGGATGAGGATCCCCGATGTCAATGATAGACTATCTGGTAGGTTGGTAAATATATCGTTAATAATATGGTTAATGGTTAATGATGGTTAATATATCTAGTTGTTAATATACTGTTTATAATGGTTACTATTAATGGTTATTATATGGTTAATGATTCTAGAGGCAACATTCCCATATTCAGAAAATCTTTGCATACCATGTTTTCATCGTACTCCAGACCTGGGTTTTGGTATGTTACTTTGATAGGCATTTCAGCTCAATCTGGAGGGAACAGTTGGCCCACGGCGAATCCACTGAATGCCCCTCCACAGCTTTCTATCCCCTATGTCGTTCCAAAGCAGCTGTGGACGTTGAATGAATTGAAGGCTGCTTTGATAAGGAAGTTTCCTCATTTGTCTACCGAAGAAGGACAGGGTTGTCAAAGGTAACGTTTTTAAAGGTTGGCTGAGTAAAAATTAGCAAGTTTCTTCCCAGGGACCTCACCCAAGGTGAACTCGGAAAAATAGAACCCACTGGTGTGCCCCTGGAAGTTTGGGCTGGCTTTGGGATTGGAGTTTTGGTTCTGGCCCCGAAATTTCCTATGTGGTCTCGATACCAGCCACGCATACTCGGAATTCTTCGCATTCCACAAATTCTTCGCACTCCAGCGAGGGCATCGCACTCCACAGCTAGGGACGTACACATACTGTAAAATCCACGCACTCTGCAGGATCTTCGCACTCCATAAAATCTTCGTACTCGGCGATTTTCTCTTTTTTTCTGTTTTTTTTTGGGGGGGGCTAAAATCGCCTGGAATCACGTTTTCTGGAATATGGGCAAGGTAGCGGTTTTGCGTGAGACGTCTGTAGTTTCACATACTATCGCATTCCAGGCCATTTTGGCCAAAAATGACCAAAAATAAAAAAATATGAAAAAAAAGCTCAGCAGGGTGAAATGTGATAATTTTCTGGTATATGATGGAAAAAACTGGTGTTGGATCCATGGGGAAGGTCGAAGGGGGCCACGCATACTGTTTTATTTTCGCATTCCAGAAAATTAGCGCACTCCAGGGGTGGCATCGTACTCTATCGGTGGAATTATTTTGCACGGAAGAAAGCAGGATCGTCGATGATTTGTGTTCCCAGATCCTGTTGTGCAGAGCTCTTTGCGGGGCCACAAAGATGTCAAGAAAGATGGGGATGGCGCTGCTGATGAAAGGCCAGCCAAGCGTGCCAGAACATAAGCTTAAAGCTTATGAATTGGGTTTTGAGATCCTGAAAAGTGTAGATGACAAATTCCCATAAGAACATTATTAATCCATTTTTGGAAAGCTCAACATTATTAATTATGACATTTCCAGAAATTGTTGAAAGTAAGGATCTTCTTTGGGGAAGAACATGTGCAGTCGACAACGTACGTGCCAGAAGAAAAGGAGTACTTGGCAAACTGTATGAAATACAAATTTCACCTGAAAGGGGTCTTCGCAATTCCCTGAAATTTCCCAGCTATTTTGGCATGGAATATGTTCGGCCCTGGAACATGGGCAAGAAATTGCTAGAATGATGGTTAATAATAATCTGGTTGGTGGTTTCAACCTACCCCTCTGAAAAAATGATGGAGTTCGTCTGTTGGGATGATTATTCCCAATATATGGAAAAATAAAATTCATGTTCCAAACCACCAACCAGATAAAGATGCCAAATAAATAAGGTGAACACATTTTATTCTCCAGGTTGCCTAGTGTGCTGAGGCAGGAATACTCTGGATGAATTGCAGCTACTGGTTGCTGTTTGAGAGGGCTTAGTTCACCACTTGGTATGGAAAATGGCTGAACATGGTCCATGTATAGATGAATTACCCTCTGGTAAACAGACATAACTATGGAAAATCACAATTGTTAATGGGTAAATCAACTATTTCTATGGGCATGTTCAATAGCTATGTTAAATTACCAGAGAGTACCCATTGGGATGGCAAAAAAATATTTATCATTTATAGATGATTTATTCATTTGGTGATTTAGGGGATGGTGCAAATGGCATTGTTTTACCCACATTAATCAGGTATTAACCACTATTATAATCACTATTAAATTATGACCACTATTATAATCACTATTATGATCACTACTATGATCACTGTTATAATCACTATTATGATCACTATATATTTATTGTAATCACTATTATAAACACTATTAATCACGTGATTATCACTATTATGATCACTATCATAATCACTATTAGTCACCTTTGATGGCCCGTACTCATTCAATATGATGTAGCCTCCTCCAGCATAGACCCTGCCAAGAAGGGGTCGGAAGACGACTTGCCACTCAAAATTCACTATGTTCAGGGTCGAACTGTTGATTTACTGGAGGGTAAAACACGGTAAATAAAAAAAAACAATAGATCCAATCATCAGTCAAACTCCCTTAAATTTCCGTGGTTGTTTGGGGGAGTGGTTCAATTCATTTGGATGGGAAAGGAAGCGTTACCCAATTCACCCGCCACGTGCCTTCTCTTTGATCAAACCAAAGAGCTTCAGATCGCTGCGTGTGACGTTAGTCTCAGCGTGCACAGCACGGTGGCGGCGAGTGTTTTCTTACAGGGAGACCAGGGGAAAGCCAGGTACCATTGATGGAAATAAGCATCGGAATACCCTCCGGCAATGAAACATGGCTAGCTGTGAAATCTCTTATACATGGAGGTCTTGATAGGAAAATCATCTACAAATCAGTGATTTTCAATCGAGCAATGTCTCTTATAGAACATGTTTCTGAGCAAATCACGTAAACTCCTACTAAACTGAAATAAACCATGACCAACAATGACCAACATGATTTCCCAACTACTACCCTCTGGTAAAATCAAACATTGCAATCGCAAGTCCTTCATTGATATATGATTTTCACATTAGCACTTCCAATTAAGGGATTTCCGAGTGTCAGCCATGTTTGATTACCAGAGGTAACCATCATCATCTATAATTTATGGTAGGTCATTGTGAAACTGCGACATGGTGAAGTAAATTGTTAACACATGTTGACACTATCACCCGGAACGTGTTCTCTATGATTAGGCACAAGAAACGGATACAACATGTGGGAACAAAAGGCTACAAGCTGCAAACTATAACCCCATCCTAGACCTATCTAAAGTAAACCTCGTTGGAAAAAGTTGGCTTTCCAAACATAAGTGTGAGCCACATACCATCATTGTGCTCGCTTACGCCAATGCCGGCTGGTCATCAATCCAATGTTGAAACATGTTGAAAGCAAAATAACAGTTAGATTAATGAAATATCCTCATTTAAGTATCGGATGAAATAGGGATTGTCTATGGATTATGTCCATTTGGGTATAGGTCAAAATTGGGTACACCAATCCTTAGATGGTTAATACTAAACATATAAATTTCAATTTACCCATCCCCACTTTGTGGTAACCCACTCCCTTACCATTCACCAGCATCTACAGTTATGGTATGTTATGGTCATGTATTGTAAAACTGGTTGTAAGTGGGATTACACATTGCATAAATGGGATTATATCCATTTATATCCCCATTATATAGGATTATATATGGATTATATAATATTAAAAATGGATTCTATAGGATTATATATGGATTACTATTTCTATGTATATATGGATTATACATGGATTATACATGGATTATACATGGATTATATATGGATTATATATGGATTCTATATGGATTCTATAGGGATTTATATCTCCGTTATATTCAATGGATTCTATAGGGATCTCACGATCCATCACTGATTCCCTGCTGAGCGGCCAAAATCCCCATTCCTTTTGCAATGTCCTTCAGCTCCAGCGACATCTTGTCACGTGAGGCCTCAACTTTTCCCGTTCCCGAGAAGGGTACCCTACACTGAAAAGGCCATGGCTACTAGAGGCTAATGTTATAATAATTCAATGGGAATTTCAGGACCCTAAAATGGAGGTACGTTCGTACCATATAAGGCCATATTTTGTGGGGATATTCCCTGTACATTACGGGATAATGGAGACATATTAATGGTTTAACTATGGTTCATGGTAGATATACAATTATAGTTAATGATTTAATGGAAAACATTTTAGATAATATTGGGATATTGGATAACAATGTGATAGTAATGGATAATAGGATAATGGATAAATTTGAGTGGCTTGAATTAATGGTTTACGGTAGCCTACTTGACAATTTCATGGTTTTGGTAATGGCTTAGTAGTGGTTAATAATGGTTGATAATGGTTAATATGGGAATTATACGATGTACAGGATGGGGCCCCCAAGATAGCTAAGTTGCCTTATAAGTGACGTAACTATGGTTTATGGTAGATATATTATATAGCTAAATGGGATAATAACATGGGAAATTATACAGTGAAATGGCCATGGCTATTAGTTATAACTGGTTATTAACCTATTGGATTATACATGAACCATTTTTATGGGGCGACTTGGTAGTATAACTGGTATAACTCGGGCCATAACTGTAGGTAATAGCTGGTTAATGGATGTGAATATTCCCCGTATTTGAACGGTGATTTCAGAAGTTTTGACCCGTCCCCAAATAGGAAATACGGTGCTTATAACTTCTGGGATATTCATGGGATTCAGTGGGAGAATTGAGGAACAATGGCGATGAAAACGATACGATGGTAGGATTTGCTGAATATCGGTACAGTTATGGCCCTTTACCAGTTATAAGTACTAAGAAAACCCCATTTATAACATGTATAATCCCACAGAAATAACCAGTTATAACTATATAATAAATGGCCATAACTGTAATATCTTTAGGTGATATATAATAAAGAATAGTTGGCCAGAACATCACTAATACATGATGAATTGTTACTAGCCAGGAAATGGTGGTATAATAGGAGATTAGTATAACTGGAATATGACTGGGAATGACTGGGAGTAAAATGGTATATATATATAAACAACTGAGGAAACAGAGTGTTTCTTCTAATGGAATTAATGGGATCATCATATTTTACCCAATGAACAAATACATTTTCTTATAAGTGGAGGATTCAATGGAAAAAATGGGGATGTGGGATATAACGTGGGATAGACAAGGAGGTACATGGCAAACTGGGAGATATATCGCATTTCATGGGATATAAAAGTGGCAAAACAATACAACAATCAATAAGCAGTAGCTACAACGAACAAGAACCAATCACAGAATGGAATACATTGAGTCTACTTATATGATCTAATATGTACAGTAAGCCACTGACGAAGCATTTGCCAATTTCCGCGCTCAATCAGAGATATCCTTGAACAGACACAATTCTTTTAGATTGTCAATGTATTATTGTGTGCCCATTCATGGTGTTTCAATCTCAATAGTCATCCAAGTAATAACCCCTGCAAATGGGGACAAAGGTATCCGTCGACGGGCCATGCGCTTGCTGTGACATCATCTTGACGAGGTCCGTAGCTTTTGGTTGTGAATCCTACAGTATAGGTATAACAAACATCAAGGGTCAACCTTTTGCCTGGCTACGACCCACTTTTCAGGGATGCTTCCGACATCTTCCAACATTCCAAATACTGAACGTGGAAATTGGACTTACCATCTGGTTATTTAACAGTTCGCCATGGAAAGATCTACCCATTTTTAAGTTCGGTAAACCATCTATTTCTATGGGCCATGGCTTACCATGGCAAACTGTTAGTCATAACCAGAGGGTATCCCATTCATATCCCATATAAAGTCCCATTAAATCATGATAAATCCCATTGAATCACTATAAAATCACCAGATGCTATAAAGAAATGGAACATGTGTCGCCCTTGCAGCTGTCATAAAAAACCATCATTTACCCACAATAATCATTTACGCAGCTCCAGATTGGAGCACCCACCCCTTGAACAATGCTGGGAAACTCACTATTTTAGATGGTTAAATTCCGGAACTTCTTGGGGTAGGGAACCCCCATATTGTAAATCTCCATGTATGTCCTACAGTTATGGCCTTTACCAGTTTTCAATACTAAGTAACCCAATTTATGGAATGTCTAATCACATCTATCACCAGTTATATAGCTAATAGCCATGGCCATTTCACTGTATGTCCTATAGATTCCCCATTTCCAGTGCATTTTCTATTGGGAACATCATGGAAAATGCCAAGTTTATCACAAGCCGCGCGCCTCCAAATCCTCCAAAGCATCCAGTTTTTTGGCTTCGGGGGCCTAAGGTTCGGCTGACACAACCGGCCATGGCCCAACAATTCGGCACCATGCCCCCCCCAGTGATGTTTGTTGGTCTAAGAACCCGAGGAAGTATATATATCTACAATAACTTGGATATGCTTAAGGAACCAACAACAATAACAACTAGTCTTTACAGATTCCTCAAGTAGCAGATTTCTCCCTTGGGGGAAATAGAAAATCATCTTCAGCAAATAAATCTAGGATAAACCCTAGTTCTGCTAATAATGAACTACAGACCTTAGCCAACTACGGGTCACCATCTTGAACGAAAAATCATCTTCAATAGGATTTGTGAAACTGAGAGGGCTCCTGGGGGTCACCAACTCATGCCTCTGTAAGATGCTGTTGCCAGCGCTTTACGGCGGTCGGATACTTTGGACATATCCGACATAGCCGGGATGTTGGTATACAAAGAATGGGATGTTGAACGGTTCAAATCAGCAAGCAAGTGTGAACATTGAGATATGATGGGGTCAAGGGCCATTTCAGGAACCGATTGATTGGAGGTACCTACCGTATATAAGGCCTATTTTTCAGGCCTATGTAAGGGAATATCCCCCCAAAATATGGCCAAAAATATGGTACAGTACCTCCGTTTTAGGATCCCGAAATTCCCATTGATGGGGTTGTGACATGTCAAAACCATTGCAACCCCCACCCAAAGCCCGTGAATTTCCAGTCATATTAGAAGCATTGACAATATGTCTATATCCTTATGGCCCGAAATACCAGTTATAAGTACTAAGAAAACACCATTTATAACATGTATAATCCCATTGAAATAACCAGTTATAACTAATAAATGGCCATAACTGTATATCCTTACGTTTACTTTGTGGTTCATCATCCAACTAATAAGTAGAATTAAGAAAACAAATAAGGGGCCACTAACCATATACAATTGACCTGACATACGGTGGGTGGTTGCGAAATCTTGCACCACCTTGGATAGTTGAAAGTCTATAAATAATGGGATGTTTATCTCCTATCCACTGGTGCAGGATTTCGTCCATCCACAGTATGATTGTTCCATTTTATTTTAATATAATATTGTTTGAATATGTATATGCATATATATATATAATATATGCACGCATATATGTATACTGTAAAATCATATGCATCATTCACATTTTGTCGTCCCAATTAATTCAGTATCTTGTATTGTGATGACCCGCTGTGTACTTCGAAAAACAATTTCCTCACAGGTAAAATTCCCTGTTTTGGTTGCCAAAGTCCCTGTTGTGTTTCTTGGTCAAAGCAGTCTTTGTTGTTGGTTTCATATCTTAATTCTTGGTTGGATAAAACCATCGCTTTCTCTTGCTGAAAAAATCATCATTGGCTGGTTACCTCCCATGATTCTTCATGAAAAACACGTTTTCGTTGCTGAAGTCCTAGTGTTTATTGGCTGAAATTCTGGTTTTCTGTTGGCTAGATCTGCATTTTGTTGCTGACATTCAATCATAATCTAAATGAGAAAACTCAGGGATTTAGTGAATGACAATCAGGGACTCAAATTTCACTCTGGGGTCCATATCAATATTGATTTACAATGAGTTACATTGATTTATCACAATTTAGTGACAAAATCATAGGCATTTGCTTGGCAATTCTTTCACCCATAGGGGTCCATATGAATCGGATTTTCACGGCCCGCCCCATTGGAACGACCACTGGAACGAGCTCACCGGCGCTGGATCTTTGGCCTCGGCGACCATCAATTTCTGAACCAATAACCATGTGAATGGAGTGAAAAGCCTTTTTGAAACAGGCACGGCATGGTACCAGGTTCCCCATTTTTCTGGGAGAATAGAAGGGTATTTTTGTTCAAATTGGCTACCTGGTACCTCAATATCACTCGATTTTTAATACGAATACGTACCTGGTACGACTAAATTCCATGATCCTCTTGGTCTTAAAATTTGACCAATGCAGCTCTCATTTTGAAGCCTCCAACACCTGGATGTCAACAGAGGGTTGGAGTTTGAGATAAAATCAGCAAAAAATGACGTGATACTTTGATGGCTTTAGGTTTGCAAATGGGCTTAGGATGGTCGAGCGGCTCGTTTTTGTTGAGTATACTGTCATCCCAGCTAAAGAAAAAGGTGAGAGTGCCAGGTATCCCAAGCCTTCAATAGCATTGTATAGCTATGGTCTAGCATTGGGATTAAAAAAAACATGACTTGCCAAATTGGATGATTCCATAGAGTACTCAAAAAAACCAATTTTGTGGGCCGATGATTCCCCATTGTTTGTGTATTTGGGAGCGGGTCAATCAATGGGGTTTTCTTCTTTCCTGATGAGAGTCCATAAAAACAAGCTACAAACTATTTACTTTGCTAAACTTAGATACCTCCCTACATTTTATTTTTAGCTGGTAAGTAGATAATCCCATTGATACCACCAGACTAAAGGATTAAAGTACGCATTCAAGGTTAATCTATTTAGATGTAAACCAAGGCAACAAGGCTTTGACCCATGGCTGGATTCATTCAAACAGTCATTCGCGGAAGTGGATGATTGGAAAATCTGCAAGAAATCTCTATCCAAAGAGAGGTACCCCCCGGTGTCATCAAACATACAATGTGGGGCCCCCCAGTGATGTTAGATGGTTTATAAACCCCATGAATACTATAGTTATAGGTACAATAAACCATAGTTATTGGAGTTATTTGCACCAACTGAACGCAATTTCGTCAACGGGGGCCCCAGGAGTTGTAGCAATGGACAATCCTCATGGAGAGTTTATTGGAAATATCATCCAAGAATGGGTGATTAAAAATGGTGATTTTCCGGCCTTGCCGTGTTTGATGACACCGGAAGGTAAAAACAATGACTGGTTGGTGGTTGAGCCTACCCCTCTGAAAAAAATATGAAAGTCATTTGTTGGATGATTATTCCCAATATATGGAAAAATAAAAAATGTTCCAAACCATCAACCAGATGAACAAGCAAGGGTTCCATCTGAAGGAAACCTATCCCGAACAAACAAACCATCAGAAAGGGCACGGTGGACCAATGAAGTCCCTGGGGACTGCGCCCCTGGGACCGGTGCCCTATAGGTGCCCTATCCCGAACAATCAAGTTGCACCATCGAACCTTGAATCAGAACCACTTCCTTGGCAGGTACACTGCTAGGTACCGTAAGTTGCCAAGTGGTATGAGGCCTTGATTGGCCACACCGGGCTGGTCATGATGATGGCCAAAGCGTCCTTCGTAATCGACGTATCTCTGGTTGGTGGTTTCAACCCCTCTGAAAAATATGAAAGTCAGTTGGGATGATTATTCCCAATATATGGGAAAATGAATTTCATGTTCCAAACCACCAACCAGTATCTTCTTTGAGGAAAGGTGCTACATCTTCCAAAGATCCCGAAGGTGACTCCGCACCGATCTGCTGCCGCATCAATCTCGATGCCACCTCCCTGCCATCGTGATGAAGGTGTTTGGCAGCAATCCTAGCTCCTCCCTCGGGTCCATATTTGTTCTGCTTGTTGAGCTGGATGTCGATCCCTTCTCCTTCTTCTTCTTCTTCTTCTTCATCTCTGAGACGGAAGCCAATCATATGAAATCATATCGTATCAATGATATATCATGTTGTTATTTCATATCATACATCCATTAAACTTAACATTTTTCATGGTTGCTCCCAAGACCCCAGAGCCCTAAACGTGAACCACCATCGGTCGAGTAGAATTCCCACGCAGCGAGCTTTCGATGGGGCCGCCTGGCCCCCGAGACGTGAAAGCTTTGTGTAGCTGTGATTGACCTGATTGACCTGTCATAACCCCCCAGCCTTACAAAAAATATAGGTCACGAGCCCAGGTTAGCCTACAAGATGTCTTGGATGACCGGCCTGAAGACAGATTCCTGACCAAAATGACTCAGGTTTTTCTGTATTCCTTAAGTTAAAGCTGGAAAAGGGTCCTGTGTCTCAATGACCTCGAAAAATATGCGTATGGTGAAACCTCTTTGAAAAACAACATGGGAGGAACCAGAAGCGAGATTCATTCTCATTCTAGACCTACTACCTACACACAACGGTCCAAACCAGAGCAACTCGCAATTCAGTACATAATTTGTGGTTCGAATTAAGGAACAGCAATTTGTGGCGAGTCATTCTAACTCTTAAAACATGGAACCATGATGAACCATGTACATGTAATCCAACTTACAAAAGATTGGAACCTTACCTTCTGTTTGGATTTGGATTTCTCTGGACCCAAAAATCTATTGGTTGATCCATCCATTTTCCGAAAAAAACAAATGCAATGGCGATCAATCCTCCATAAAAAAGGCACACCCAAATTTTGATCATGAACAAAATCTCCATAGACCACCATAATCCCTATAAATTCCATAGTAATCCGTATAAATCATCATTCATCACCATGAATCACTATTAATCACCTATCAATCACTATAGTTCACCAAAGCCAAAGCCCACAAGCACAGAACCATTCTGAGGCTTTCGCCGCTGGACTCTCCGGTGCCTTGCTGAAAGGATAAGCCGCCAAGACATGGAGATTGATGGGTGTTACTTGGTGGATCATCGATCATCCCATGAATCTTAAATAGGTTAGTTCACCCCAAGTATAAGTGAATTAAGCCGACTTATAAGTGAATTATCCCACTTATAAGTGAATTATCCCACTTATAATAAGGAATATAACCTACTTAGGATTCGTGGTCTGACCTACGAAGTAAGTTTTGTTTTTTAATCGGGAGAATAATAATCGTAGGATGATCTTGGGATACAAAAATGGATAATGAAGGTTTCCTAAGTCATGGAGGTACCCCCGAGTCATCATCCAAGTTGTTAGATTGTTACAGTATTGAAACCCATGGTGACGGCTAGGGATCCCCCAGTTAAAGAAACCATCAAATGAGCATAGTTTACTAAGTGAAGTCTATTAAGGATCTTTGGTCGATATATGGAACTAGTCAAAAAAGGGGTTCTTACAATGGGAAATTCAGGATCCTAAAATGGAGGTACTGTACCATGTAAAGCCATCTTTTGGGTGTATATCCCCTGCATAGCCCTTACATAGGCCTTATATATGGTAAGTACCTCCAATTTAGGATCCGGAAATCCCCATTGATCTTGCTATTGTTTGTTGTTAATAAGCCCTTTACTAAGCCCATACATTTGATTATTCACCCATATTACGACCATTAATCCCTATTATGGTCCCGAAATGTGGTACCTGTTGCGTGGCCATAGATTCTAAGACAACTTATCACTGGGAAGGACCACCTTGCAGAAATTGCATCTGTCCGTTCTGGTTTGAAACAGATCTGGTTGGTGGTTTCAACCCCTCTGAAAAACATGAAAGTCAGTTGGGATGATTATTCCCAATATATGGGAAAATAAAAAATGTTCCAAACCACCAACCAGAGATTTAACTACTACAATCCATGGTTTCTATGCTATAACAACTGGTTGGTAATCAGTTTAAAACATTCAGTTGTTCATTTTCAAAGTATTGCAATTATTTTTTGAAAATGTTTTCAAAATATGTTTGTCAAACACACATTAGGATATGGTTTAGATAGTTTGTGGTATCATATGATACCTTTTGATATGTTATGACATTTTTTATCGCTATATGATAGTGTTTTCAGGTTTCAGGCAATATAAATGTAAACTTGAAAAGCCTCTGCGCTGGATGTCCCTGCAAAAAAATGCATATGTTTGTCAGCCCGAACTTTCATAACTTACATTTTCTTTTCCTTAATGGCACCTAACGGTGGGTATATGTTGTGTAAATGGTGGAAATCACAGTTTTCTTTCAACACGCTGTGTATTTTGAATGTATTTTGAGTATGACTTAGATATGATTTAGATATGATTTATGTATGATTTAGATATGTTTTTTGGATATTTTGATCTATTTTGTGGATATGTTTAAGATATGGTTTAGATTTAGATAGTTTATGGTATTTCATGGTATCATATGATACCTTTTGATATGTTATGACTTTTTTATCGCTGCATGATAATGTTTTCAGGTTTCAGGCAATACACATGTAAAGTTGAAAAGCCTCTGCGCTGGATGCCCCTGAAAAATGCATATGTTTGTAAGCCAGAACTTTTATAACTTACATTTTCTTTTCCCCCATGGCGCCTGAAGGTGGGTATGTGTTGTGTAAGTGGTGGAAATCATAGTTTTCTTTCAACACGCTGTGTATTTTGAATGTATTTTGAACATGATTTAGAAACGATTTAGGTATGATTTAGAATTTAGATATTTTGCAGGGGAAGTTTCCAAAAGCGTGCAAAAACACATGAAGACTGTGACCTTCTGGTATGCCTTTACCAAATCTAGCAAGCAAATGCAATTTTTTTTTGGGGGGTGCTAAAATGTAAGTTACCATGTCCCACATCGATTGTTACATTTAAAACAGCCCCCCTAGTTTTTTAGGGCCAACAAAAATTGTAACTTACAATTTCCCACACCCCCCCACTTATTGTAAGTTACATTTTTCTGCCCCCCCCAAAACCAAGGTTGAGGGGGTGGGGATGAGACAGGTACTGTCTTTGGAAGTATTGGCACCATGCATCCTCATCATGGACCAATGAAAGCCTTGCCAACACAGCCTTCATCACGCAACTGAATATTGTCTCAGTCGGGGCGAACATCAGCGTCCGGATGATCAGCAGCATATAGTCCAGTGAGCGGTGCTTCAGGTGCGGCCGAGGTCGCAGAGTGTGTGCTCGTTCTCATCCTTGTGCGGGTTGTCTGCTCTGTTGTCCTCCTTGTGCTCGTTTGGTGCCTTGAAACAGGGGGTAGCCAAAACAATATAGACGCATGGTACCCTGAGAGGGGAAATTTGCAGAAAGCCAACTGAACTATGTAGAAAACAAACGTCCTGTATCTAGAGCAATGAAATGTTTGGGCAGCTGCGTGAGATAGGACAGTATAGGAACGGTTGCGAATGTGTGATGCCACTTGCTACTGGGCGCCTGCCCTAGGTCACATCACACACCTGAAAATCACATCACTGCATCACAGCCTCCCAAACCTTCTCCGGAACCTCCGGAACCCTGTATAATACAGTGGAGGGGAAGCTCCGGATCCTCCTCTGGCACTGTATAATGCAGTGGACGGGAAGCTCCGGATCCTCCTCTCGCACTGTATAACACAGTGGACGGGAAGCTTCTTATTTTTTCTTTGGCGCTGTATAATGCAGTGGACGGGAAGCTCCGGATCCTCCTCTGGCACTGTATAATACAGTGGACGGAAGCTCCGGATCCTCCTCTGGCACTGTATAATACAGTAGAAGTGAAAATAGTCGGATAGTCTTTTTCAAAAATAGTCGTGGATTCTTTTTCTAGAATAGTCGTGGATTCTTTTTCTAGAATAGTCGTGGTTTCTTTTTTTTCTTGTCGTAGGTTCAAAAAAAATAGTCGTGGATACGCCGCCCTCCTTAAGTATGACAACTGTTGAAACAGCTAATACCTAGGGTTTATCATCATGTTCAGCGGTCCGGTCATATATTCACTATACAGTGGCAAAAACGTTGATGAATATGATCGATTCTCATACACATACACCACTATATCACAACTATTAAAACTATTGTAACTACCTTCCAGTGAATAACTACGGAAAATTGACCATGATTTACCATGATATACCTATGATGAATGGTAGTTGTCCAAAGCGCTCTGAATTTATCACAAGGTATTATAAGCATGACAACAATCATATACGGAGGTTTTCAAAATATGGGTGCCCCAAAATGATCAATTTTTTAAAGAAATTTCACCTTCCATTTTGGGGTACCTCCATTTTCATCAAACCCATTAACTATAGTTATATCTACCATAAACCATACTTAACCTACGTAGTTATATGTTACAATTTAACTGATATATCATGCCTTACAATGGCACCTCCAAACCCTTCCGTGTCTCATCTGAGCCCCCACACCGACGGAGCTGTTGCCTCGTCGCCAAGCGACGCTGACAGTGTGATCACGACTGCTTGGGGAATTAAAAGCCAACAGTGGAGAATTAACTCTCAAAAAATGTCGTTTATGTTGATATAGCTATCACCATTGGGACTCAACCGAATAAAAATAAAAGGACCGGATAACCCCACATGTCAAGCCTTTATGTATCTAAGCTTAATGTGAACTTCGGGGAGGTGTGAGAAGTGAGGTGTGAGAAGTGGACTTGTGATGTCAGGTGTGAGAAGTGGAGCTGTGATGAGTTCTGATGTGATAGTGAGGTGTGAGAAATGGTGTGAGAAGTGGAGCTGTGATGAGTTGGGATGTGATAAGTTGTGATGAGAAGTTGTGATGTGATAAGGAAGGTGTGAGAAGCGAGGTGTGAGAAGTGGAACTGTGATGAGTTGGGATGTGATAAGTTGTGATGAGTTGTGATGAGAAGTGGACCTGTCAGAAGTGGAGCTGTGATGAGTTGTGATGAGCAGTGGAGCTGTGATGAGTGAGGTGTGAGAAGTGGAGCTGTGATGAGTTGGTATGTGATAAGTTGTTATGAGAAGTTGTGATGTGATAAGTGGAGCTGTGATGAGTGGTGCTGATAAGTCTACGGCGGCAGAGGCGGGAACAGGAGCGGCGGGATCCAAGTGAAAAACAAGATCCCGGCACATGATACATGCAGCACACGAGCTCTTTTTCAAGAGAGGCCGCGCAAGTTCAAGCGTCATCATTCTGTGCAGTGTAGGGTACCTGGCACAGGTGATGAGGTAAAAGAAATATGAAATGAACTGATGAGTCTATGTGACTGAAAGTAGCGGAGTGATACACTGTCGTCTGTATGTTCCCTGTTAAACGTAACGGTCGAATAACAGAAGTGTTTCCCAAATTGATTCCAGGAAGGAGGCTCTGTGTACTGCGCCTGCCACGCAAAAGGCAGCCGCGGGCCAGCGGCGCCCACGCGCGCCGCAGCTCCGCCAGGAGGCTCTGTGTACTGCGCATGCCACGCAAAAGGCAGCCGCGGGCCAGCGGCACCCACGCGCGCCGCAACTCCTCCAGGAGGCTCTGTGTACTGCGCCTGCCACGCAAAAGGCAGCCGCGGGCCAGCGGCGCCCACGCGCGCCGCAGCTCCGCCAGGAGGCTCTGTGTGCTGCACCTGCCACGCAAAAGGGAGCCGCGGGCCAGCGGCGCCCACGCGCGTCGCAGCTCCGCCAGGAGGCTCTGTGCACTGTGCCTGCCACGCAAAAGGCAGCCGCGGGCCAGTGGCGCCCACGCGCGCCGGAGGGAGGGAGGGAGGGAGGGAGGGAGGGAGGGTGAGTGAGTGAGTGAGTGAGTGAGCGAGCGAGCGAGCGAGCGAGCGAGGGAGGAGGCGGCGGAGGAGGAGGAGGCGGTGCCCCGGCGGGATCCAAGCGAAAAACAAGAACCCCACACAGTGATGTGGGGAAAAAGTGTTGAATGGCAAACCAACATGGTAAAATGGGAATATGTACGGTTTCAATTTCAAAATCATGGCCAATGATTTCGGATCATTTCAGATCATCAAGGTTTTATCTTTCCAAAAGTAAAGAAATCGCTTATCAGTGGCCCATGGTGGCACAACAATTGTCCATATTTCAATGAATAACGCTACCATAATGCGTCAAAAAAACAATGAAAGCTTGGGGTTTGTCCACTGTTGTTTGCTGAAGTTCAACACATTACCGTCCAGAAACCCAGCCATCAACATCTGCCAACCAGTGGGGGTTTCTTAATACTAAGTCATGGTCGAATGACTTGGATGATTTGGAGTAGCTTCATTTTATGATCAAAAATACGGGCCATGGGTCTATTATGATTACAATATTTTTATGGGTCTACTATGCTAAAATGGATCTATGGAATTTGTCTATTATTCCCATATCTGCCTATTGATTTATGGTAATCCACCTCGGTTTCCACGAGATCCATCAACAAATTTACCCCATAACGTTGGTTTGTTTATAAAGGTCATGGGACCCAGTTCGAGAGATCTACCCAAATCCCTGAATTAAGGTGTCCATGTTTGTTAGTTAAATCCTACAGGATGGGGCCCTCCAGTGATGTGAATGTTGGTTTATGGGGCCCCATCCAAATATAGTTGTTTATCATACACTATGGTTATTATAGTTATGTTCACCAACTGAACGCTAACGAACTGGGGCCCCATCCTGTAGCACGTCCCTGATCTTAGATGGATATCAGCGTAAATCTCATTTGGGAAACCCATCGCTGCTTAGATCCCAATATTGTCGATTACCCTCTGGTAAACGTTTACAAAACTATGGAAAATCACCATTTTTCATGGGAAAATCCACTATAACTGGCCATTTTCAATAGCTATGTTAAATTACCAGAGGGTAGTTTTCAGGGATGTTTTTCTGAAGTTTTCCGATTGGTCTCTTGGTAAATCTCCATTTTTCCCTACAGTTGTGGCCCTGAACAGCTATAAATGGTTTTAATAAAGTCATGCAACTGTTGGCTTATATAAGTTATATATATCACTCAAATGTTTTTTTCAGCCAGCTACAAACTCTTAAGGCCTAAAACTGTACAGGATGGTGCCCCCCCAGTTATGTTATCAACCCCATGAACTAGTTCGTTATATCTACCATAATAAGAATTCAGCCACCGAAATAAGGCAACTGAACGCAACAACGAACGGGGGCCCCATTCTGTAAATCGTATAATCCCCATATTAACCACTATTAACAATTATTAACCACTACTAAACCACTGCTAAACCATTACTAAACCATTGGGTTGGTGGTTTCCGTCACTAACAATTATTTATAGTTTAGTTAATCAACAGTTACTATTAATAGTGGTTTCATATCATTAACCATTATTAAATAACCATGGATCTTTCCGGTCCATCTTCACCCCCTTGGGCGCCCCGTTCGCCTGAGGCGAAGGGGCGGAGGACGGCGCGGGCTTGGCTTTGCTCATCAGCGGCTTCTTGGTTTCGCTCTGCCACAGAGCGAGCGCGGAGAAACAGCTGATTTTCGCCATGGAAAAAAAACGTGATTTCAGCAGGGAAAAGGGATGAAGATGTGGGGTCTTACATGGATTTACCATGAACATGTGACATTTTGAGAGATATTAGAACGACAAAGATTGGATTAGTGAAATAATCCTGGAAAAACGATGGTGAAACCCCATGTTTCACCGTCAAGATATGGGAGAAGGGTAAGACAACAATCTCAGACAAATACCCTCCCATTTATAAGTTGGTTTATAACCCCATCCAAATATAGTTATTTGAATTTGCGTATCATACACTATGGTGATTATAGTTATGTTCACCAACTGAACGCTAACGAACTGGGGCCCCATCCTGTAGCACGTCCCTGATCTTAGATGGATACAATGTGGGGCCCCCCAGTGATGTTAGATGGTTTACAAACCCCATGAATACTATAGTTATAGGTACCATAAACCATAGTTATTGGAGTTATAAGCACACTTAGCTATCTAGGGGGCCCCACTTTGTATATTGGGTGAATATTGTCAATGATATACAGTACTTTGAATTGCAACATTTGGTAAATCCCTGACATATGGTTGACGCAAGGGGTCACCCCCAAAACGATAGCTAAATTGGATTTCTAACTAGATGTTAACTAAGGTGTATGGTCGAATATATCTTTTGTTGAAACCAACTTATAAACGGGAGGTATAACCTTGTAACTGCTGAAAAAAACATGGAAAGCCAATACATAAAAGGAACACTTAAGGTATTAGGTCAAAAAATGTGTTTCAACCAATCTGGTCAATATAAAACGGCTCACTGTCGCTTGAATATGTTTGAAGATCTCACATTCATGAGTTGTTTTTGAATGTATGCTTTTCTGAAAACATGTAGAAGCGCGAAACAACTGATGCTCCCGATATACTGTGGTTGATTGAGGAAAACATTGCAAGAGACCCCAAGGTTTGCACGAAGAAAACGCTGCTTTCCTGAATTTGCTTCCTTAAACCGATCCGTTGACATCAAAAAAAGTACGACAACGCATGATTTAACCACTAGAATCTCAGAAAATCACTACCTGCGGCGCGAAAACTGATCTCCCCTCAAAGGCACCGGAGAGTGGTTTGTGATGAACCAGTCAACACCCTTTTCACGAATCACGTTCTCAAGTTGTGGCCACCAAGATAGATTATAAGACTTATAAACTGGAATGGTGAAAATGTTAGCTCGAGAAGCTTCTTGACAGACGTCCTCACGGTCGTCTACGTGAATATTGGCACCGTGTGAAGTCAACACCGGGGTTTTGCCACCTGGTCCAACAGGGTCACCAACGACTGTGACGGACCTGAAGGGGAGACCTTGCTGACGACAATATTCACAAGTTGATGAATTTGTTGAGGATGGATTGATCGAACAGCTTCAAGGCGTTCCTCGCACAATCAAGGGTATCGTGCCAGTCAAAGAACACGATTAGATTCCTACCTATCGCACCTCGCTCTTGCTGAGCTCGGACTAAAGGTGTAAGATCTATTCTACCCCCTGGTGCGCGAACCGCAGCACCTGCCTTACCTCTAGGACTCAATGCAGATTAAGTTTTCGTCAAACGATGAGGGAATTGCTACCCTCTGGTAATTTGTTAGCTAATGTTTGATGGACAATAGTAAAGCACGTGCAATAGCTACAAATAATTTTCAGAATCTGATTTTTCAGCCCCTATTGATTTTAAATTAGGCCTTATTGGTTTTAAATTACAAACATCAACCTTGGTCCAGAGCATCTGCAATAAATGTGGTTCATTTGCAATAGCTACAAATAATTCTCAGAAAATTCCCAAATTATCAGATTTTCCAATACTAAATTGTAAAGGAGCTAATTGAGATTTAGTATGGATGCAGGGAAAAAAATCAGAACCAGTTACAGTTCAGCTGTATTTTTTCCATTCTTCCTTAGTGTTTTTAATTGTGGTTGAATGGTTTTTAACTGTGATTGCATGTTTTTCAAAAGCAAAAACAAAGCAAACCTTTACCAAATCAAAAACTTTACCTTGTTCAAAAAAGCTGTTTTCTTTATTAAAATATTTTTAAAAAAATGCAAAAAACAGGTCCACAGAAGGTACCCCCTTGCAGGTCCTTGCATTTGCAATTAAAAATTAGAATTAGCACTTGCAATAAGAAACAACCTTCCTGGCTCTAGCAGGCATTTTTTCCCCTTCTTCCTTAGTGTTTTTAATTGTGGTTGAATGGTTTTTAACTGTGATTGCATGTTTTTCAAAAGCAAAAACAAAGCAAACCTCTACCAAATCAAAAACTTTACCTTGTTCAAAAAAGCTGTTTTCTTTATTAAAATATTTTTAAAAAAATGCAAAAAACAGGTCCACAGAAGGTACCCCCTTGCAGGTCCTTGCATTTGCAATTAAAAATTGGAATTAGCACTTGCAATAAGAAACAACCTTCCTGGCTCTAGCAGGCATTTTTTTCCCTTCTTCCTATCAGAATCCAATGAAGATCCCATCAGAGCCCATCAGAAAAGAGAGGATTTGTCAAAACCTTACAGAAGCCTTTAGGGAAGAGTTGGGATTTTCAATTTACTATTGCAAAGCAGACCCCCCCTAAAAAAAATACTTTACTTCGTGTGATCCCCAACATGACATTTATACATTTTCTTACTGGCAAATCTTCTGGCATTCTATCTGACATATCTTCTGGCATTTTATTTGGCATTCTATCTGGCATATCTTCTGGCATATGTTCTGGCAAATCTTCTGGCATTCTATCTGGCAAATCTTCTGGCATTCTATCTGGCATATCTTCTGGCATTCTATCTGACATATCTTCTGGCATTCTATCTGGCATTCTATCTGGCATATCTTCTGGCATATATTCTGACATATCTTCTGGCGTTCTATCTGGCATTCTATCTGGCATATCTTCTGGCATTCTATCTGGCATATCTCATGGCATTTTATCTGGCATATCTTCTGACATTCTATCTGGCATATCTTCTGACATTCTTTCTGGCATATCTTCTGACATTCTGTCTGGCATATCTTCTGACATTCTTTCTGACATTCTTTCTGGCATTCTATCTGGCATATCTTCTGACATTCTATCTGACATCTTCTTTCTTCCCGTTGAGGTCCGGCAGTGCCCACTGCGATCTGGAAGTCGCGGTTGAGGTCCGGCAGTGCCCACTGCGATCTGGAAGTCGCGGTTGAGGTCCGGCAGTGCCCACTGGGATCTGGAGCTCGCGGTTGAGGTCCGGCAGTGCCCACTGCGATCTGGAAGTCGCGGTTGAGGTCCGGCAGTGCCCACTACGACCTGGAAGTCGCGGTTGCAGTGCCCACTGGGATCTGGAGCTCGCGGTGGAGGTCCGGCAGTGCCCACTGGGATCTGGAGCTCGCGGTGGAGGTCCGGCTGTGCCCACTGGGATCTGGACTGCGAGGAGGAGGCGGCGGGTGAGGAGGCGGAGGAGGCAATGGAGGCGGAGGAGGAGGAGAACAGCTCTGATAAAATCTAACAACCCTCACCTGGCAGGTGGGGAATTAGGGGGGGACCCCCGTTTATGATTGTCGATGTAACATTATTGAACATGGCCATTTATAGTGGATTCACCCATTGATAGCATGTTGGATCTTTCCATGGTTATGTTAGTTTACCAGAGAGTATATGAAAAAGGGCTATGAGGCACGAGGTTTAACAAACGCATACACAAATATGGCAAATTCTTGCAGCAGATTGTCGACATTCTGACGCGCCGCGTAAGGGGTGTCTCGAAGGTTTCACGTTTTCCAGCTATATATCCACTGGGGTTTAAAGACATTATCCCGTGGTATCACACATATCGATGATTGATGAAGCGTGATCATAATTTGGTTTGGTCTGAAAATAGGGTACCCCAAAATGGTGATGATTAATCATCATTCCCCTCCTACAAAAAAAACTTGTGGGAGGTATTGCCCATTTTCAGACACCACCCATATGACATTTAATTTGTTTAGACACCTCTTTTCGATGGCTATCTTTCCTATGTTTTTGTCCAAAACATCATCCCATTATCTACAGTTATGGCCATTTATTACTTATAACTGGTTATTTCAGTGGGATAAAAAACATGTTATTTCAATGGGGTGACATATCTAAGTACTTATAACTGGTATAACTCGGGCCATTTCACTGTATCACCTTGAAAAATTCCCATTGAACCCCACCAATCCTCATTGTATCGCCATGGATTTTTCGTTGAGTTCCAAAAAAGGGAGTTCTCCAGTGGACCCAAATTCATACGTATATGCTGATACATTGAAATTCATGATGGGCATGTGTCTGATTATTTATCATTTACAAGGTGATGCCCCCCGCAGTTATAAGTTAGTTAGTTTATAAGTAGTGTATATATATATATATATGTATATATATATAATTATATATAAACCCCCTAACTATAGTAACGTTCTCCACAAACCTTAGTTAACCAAATTATAAACCAACTTGGCCCCACCAAACCAGTCGCAAGCCCCTCAAACCAGTCCGTTTTTTGTGGATCCATTCTGAGTGGATCCATAAAGGCTATGTTGGGATAATTCCCCTAATGTGGGTAAAACACTGCCATTTGCACCACCCATTTTCCTGGGAATGGTTGAAATCCCACCTATAAAAATTGTGATTTGGGTGATGGTTTATTTTTGGTTTACCCACATTCTATCTAAACCATCATTACAGGCTTCGGTCGTGAGGTCGTGATCAAATTTACCCAGATGATCCATTATATCCCAGAATATGCACATTAGGTTCCACTATATTGTCCCATTAATCCCCATTAATCCCCATAATATATACCATAATATACCACTGGATCATATAGGATTTACCCAGATGTCATGTTAATAGTCACCATTCATGGCCACTATATTAGTCCTTCATTGGTGGCCAGCGCTTCATGATCCACTCCCCCCACAATCGAGCCTCTGCGCGCACGCGGATCGCATCTTTCCTGCCGCCGCCCAGAGCGCTACGCACGGTGTTGAAGAAACAGACCTGCCGCGCCCCATGGATAGCTCCAAAATTCAATGGGAAGTCCAGGATCCTAAAATGGAGGTACTGGTACTGTACCATATTTTTGGCCATGTTTTGGGGGGATATTCCCTGAAATTTAGCCCTGAACAATAGGCCTTACATATGGAATCGGTACCTCCAATAAATCGGTACCTGGGTCATGGCCATTGAAAACATGGGAACATGTTGCAAACTAATAGAAAAATGATGAATTCACCAGGAACAAACTATGGAAAAAACGGATATATAGCGATTTGCTAAATGATGAACAGGCCCATGAGATCCAAGGCGCGCAAGCTGCTGGTGTGACATCTGTGATGGACCTGTGCCCATACAGCTCCCCAGATGGCTTCCTTTTGGAGCGCCAGCAATCGTCCTCCACCGCCATGCTGGAGAATATGGGCATTTGTCTTTCCGCCCATCTTCAGCTGCTCGGTTTTCAGGCACCAATTGTCCTGAAGGCTGAAGTACGCCCTGCGCCCCAGGTTGTGCCATCCTAGTTTGCCTCCATCTTGCAGCTCTGTAGCCTGTGTTAAAGACGTAGTGATACCGTGGAAAACACGGTAATGGTGATTTAACCATGGAACATATGGGACATGGGAAAACAAAAATGGACATTTGATCATGGTAAATACGCAAAAAGTGTGATTTAACCGTGGAAACGGGAAAACGGTGCATAACCAAGGAAAACATAGGAACCTGTTGATTAATCCTGGGAACTACGGGAACATTGGCAGTCAACCGTGGAAACCTCACCAGAATCCAAGAAGTAAGGTCTTGGGAGGGCAAAAAACCCTGCACAAAATGTGTTATTTTGAAATCGTAATGCAACCTATTGAACATACAGGGAAATTGTGATTTCACCATGCAAATTATGAGAACATGCTGGATTAACCAATCGAACGAACATGTGGGACAATAGCGCACTATAACCATGGAAAATATGGGACAAGTGTGATAAACCACGGAAAATATGGGAACATGGTGATTAAACAATTCCAAGTTGAACTTCTAGTGGTCGAAATCAGAGATTACCATTATTTCCAAAGTACATCTCTAATTTTTGCCGTCTGAATTGTCTTATTTCAATCATCATCTACTGGACTGTCACTCGTCAAAATTGGTGACGTCATCAATTACAAGGAGATCACCTGACTGTAAACTCTCTAATTTGTGGGGATGACTGTCGATTTATTGACTATATCCCCGTATAGTTCCAATAAGGTTAAAACATGTCATATATCTCATCAATATGCCATCAAATATCATATATGGAGGTTTCCTAAAATGGTGGGTACCTCCAAATCATCCATTTCATTTTCGGATTTTCCATGAAATAAACCATCCAGCGATAAAGGGGTACCCCCATTTATGGATCCCCCCATATGGGAAAAGTCAACAAATCTCCACCATATTTCAGGCCCTTCTCCTGACTTTCAGGGCCTGATTTCTCCAATCCTAACCATCTATGGGGATCTATGGGGGCTAACGGGGTCATCACATTCCCATAGTTCCAATAAGGTTAACGCATTAGATAACATATTGTTGGTAAATTCACCCATTTGTTGGGAAGAATTCTCCAAGAAGTGTGCCATTAATACCATACAATCCCATCGCATTTTACTAGTTGGTTGATAATTTTCCCTACCCAGATTCCACAATAAATTAGGCCGGTAGTAGAAGTCCTTGTATTTACCAATCAATCAAACTATGTTTCAAGACAGCGTTCAAAATTTTGTGCCGTTTCTTTGCACTGGTTGGTTAAGAACGGGATTCCCTCAATAGATGGTGATAATCCCCAATATATTGGGTAGTATAAAATCAAACATAATCATCAACCAACCATCATCGATCAATTCTATCCACGTATATCATCTTACATTTTGATAGTTGGTTAAAGCCCGAATATGACTATATATATATATATCAACCAATAATATGACTATATCAACCAAAAAAAAATACATAATATGACTATATCAACTATTATACTAAAAGGCAGCTGCGCTCCTAATCTTTTGTGCACTAGGGCCCCAATGGCTCCGGTAAAATGAATGGCCACCAGCCAACATCGGCATGATTTCACACCTGCCCCCTATGGTGTTGGCTGGTGCTTCTGTACATTCTTGGCGTAACGTGCCTTCCGTAGTGCTGCTTCACGACGAAGGGCTCTTGCTTCTTCGTGTCCACCAAGCTCCATTCTCCCTTCGTCAGCACTCGCAGCAGCACGCCATTGTCATTCCATTTGGTAAGTCCATCACTCACCATCTCTCTTCCCGGGATCCATCTCACGAAGTTGCTAGCCCCTTCCTCAGTGAGGGCCTCTCGGAGGACGGCTGCATCGATCATGATCTTCCTGTCGGCGGTCATCGCCTCTGAAGACAGCACATCGTATCCAGTCTTGGCGTCGATGACCAGATAGTGCTTCCACCGACTCGCGAACCATTTCCATCGGCGGAGCTCGAAGTTGTCATAGAACACCTCCGCGAGCACCGCCCTGATGAAGTCCCCGTGTTCGAAGGCTTCGGCCGCCATTGACAGCTCAGCGCTCATGCTGCACCTTACCACCCTCTGTATCTTCATGCTCTGAGCTTCGAGCACGGCCACTGCGCCATTGCCTGACAAAATGTCAGAATGGCCCACCATACAAACTACTCCTCCTTGTGAATGGCCATTCGGTTGGGCAGCGTAGGCCGCATCGCTGGCTGAAACGATGATCCAATCCTCCCATCGTCCTTCGATGCGAGGAACCTTCACGATCACCTCCTTCTTGGCTCTCACCACCAGCTTGTGGACCCATTCCATCGCCTCACGGCGCCCTTTTCCCGCAAGCTGCTGACTGTGTGAGACCCCATAGGATAGGTCATATCGACCTTGTCGGGCTGTCCAATTGATCTGCCCGAGAATTGAGCCGATCTTCTTCCGCTCGTTCTCGGACAAGGGACCTCGTCGTGGATCCATCTCCTCCTTGGTGATGTCCGGGATGTTGGTCACGTAGTCCGCCATCGTGTAAAAGAACTCAAAAGTCTCCGGGCATTGCTTCTCGTAACGCCCGCAAAATTTCTGCCACCCATCCACTGCTCGACGATGCTGTCCAAAACGAAGCTTCTGATGCAGCTGATCCCACAGCTCCTTTGCTGTGCTGTCACCAGCATACCTGGTATCGTCCACATGTATGGTGACAATGGCTCGCAGTGCTCCTGATGGGTGGAAAGCCACGAACATTCCTGGTATCAGCTTGAGCTCCTTCAGGGTCAACTCCTCCAAGGTCGCCTTATATTCCAGATACCAAAGCCGTGGACTCTCACATAGGCCAAAACCTCCCTTCCGTAGACGTAGAAGGTCTGCTCGATAGGGCTCGCCGACAATCTTGAAGATGTGGTCGGTGACGCACTCTGGATATCCTGCCGGCAGCTTCACATAGACCTCCCGATCCTCCGGAAGTGGTTTCCCTTGCAAGAATGCTGCCGACACATCCTCATACTCCACAATCCATCTCATCTGAGTGGCCACCATGTTCAGGATGTTGTGTCCCAAAAGGCTGGCTGTTGGCGCCATCGTTGGATATTTTCCAACCTCGCTATCCTTGTGGCCACCCAGAATCCATCGAGCCTTCAGTTCTGCCGACTGAAGATCTTCTCCTCCCTTGTTGGTCAAGACAAAGCGGGAGCTCAAGATTTTGCGGGGCTCGATCACTGCATCCTTCGGAACACCCTGAATGGCCTCGTGGTCAAAGTAGACCTGCACAGCCTTGACCAAAGGCTGCTCATATGCCTTGCGCCACTCCTGATTCAAATCCTTCCATTGATACTCCAGCCTCAACTTGCCCGTGACAATCTTGGACTCCAGAACCGCATGGACCTCAGCAGCGGCGTACTTCTCCGACATCTCCACGATCTGGTCGATGTAGCCTCCACTTCCAACTTCTCCCGCATCTTCCCAAACCAGCGCCTGGGTCTCTGTTTCTAGCCAGGCGCCATAGACAGGAATTGGCTCCGTAGGTTCTACTGCTCCCACCCGTTTCCCCGGTGGTGTTCTCTTCGTAGAAGCTCCTGGAGTTCGGGGAGCGGCAGAAGAAGCTCCTGGAGTTCGAGGAGCCGCTGATGATGTAGCTCTGCCATCACCGCCTCTGGCTGTCTCACGCCCTTGCTCCTTCTTTTCTTTCTTCCACCCTTTTCGCACTTGTTTGAGCTCGCCATAGGCCTTCTCCAACCTGTCTCGCACAGCTGCCTCCTCCAATGCCGTTGGCGCACCCAAATCCTTCGCCAGCTGCTCAAACAATCTCTGCTTCTTCTCAAAGGGCATGAGGTGAGGTTCGGTCTCCGCCGGCTTCATAGCCTGAGGCACGTCGTGGGTCAGTTCCCTCTTTCGGTCTGCCTGGGCTGAAAGTTCTTGACGCGGCTCTTCATCCTCCATTGCTTCTGCTTCTGCTTCTGCATCTTCTTCTGGACCTTGTGGTGGAATGTAATCTTCCACTTGTAGACGTCCACCTGATATTTCCTGCTCCACGTCCTTGAGGGCCCCCACAATGTACTCGGCGCTCAACATCTCATCCGCGGTCGCCAGTCTGATCTTCTCCAATGGATACGCTTTCACTCTGGCCCGGAGTCTAACCCAGACCTTCTTCGGCGTGCCTTGATCCCTTTCCACACAGACCACCACAGCTGGTCCTGCCCAGGAGATGTTGTCCTGGATTCGCCGTGCCAGACCTTTTCTGCTCACTGGAGGGTCGTACACATAGACCACCGCTCCTTCCCGGATCAACTCCAGCATCGGCGGTCTCGACCTCGCTGCCAAAGCCCTTCGAAGTCCTTCGTGAGCATCCAACCAGTGATAGGCCTCGATCGCGCCGGATCGGATCCTCTCGCCTCGCCTCAATGCCTCATCCTTGGACAAGTCTTCATTGGCCTTAAACTTCACCTTTCCGCTCGTGATCTGCGCCATGAGAGAGCTCGGCAATGGTGTGTTGCGCCCAGTCACCGCTTGAATCGGCGCCACTCCAGCACTGTTGGTCAACCTGTTCTTGGCGGCCATACAGGATGTAAGTGCGGTCTTCATGTCTTCCATGTTCCCGATGCGCAACTCCATGATGACCTTCATGAGCATAATCTTCACGATAGCTCCATGACGTTCTGCATGACCCAATCGCCACTTAGCCTGGTCCGGGATGAGGTCGTGCTGCACTGCGAACAGGTCGTTCAATCGATCCACCGCACCCTTGAACTCTGATCCACCATCCGTAATGAGCACATCAGGAGGGCCAAATACATCGTACCAGCATCTACACAAGGCCTCCGCCGCCCAATCCGAAGTAGGATCCAATCCAACTGCTCCCACATGATAGTCCGTGAGCTCGTCAATGTAGTGTACCACCGCATACTTCACGTTGTTGATGTCCCAAACGAAGAAGACGTCGCCGCTCACTTGCTGGTTGAAGTTGGTCGGCTTGAGGTAGGACACCTGTGGTTTGCTCGTGGGTGGCCTAACCATGCAGCATACTTGACAGCGAAGTCGGCGTGCTCCTGCAAGTAGATCTCCACTCGCCCCTGCCAAGCTGGGCATGCGGTGCAGCCTGTCGTTGGAGATGTGACCCAACGTCACATGTAGATGCGCCAACACCCGTCTCACCCTTCTCACAAGCAATTTGGCCTGACCCTCGAAAGTGATGTAGTCATATTCTTCTCCCGTAGCTCCAAACTGTCTCATCTGGCGCTTCATCACCTCCTCGGGGGTCAGGACTGCTCCTTCTGCTTCGACTGGAAACGTCCAACGTCGATACTTCGGGTCCATGTCTTCCCAATCAGATGTCTCTTCCTCAATTGCCCTCGTGGTCGGTGTCGTCGGGGAATCAACCGGCAAACTCACGAGCACGTCCTCATCTTCCGTCTCCTCCTTGTAGATGGCCGCCTCCGCTGACTTGAGCACGTGGTTGGCCAGCTTTGCCGTCCAAGCCGATGCCATTTCTGAGCGCTTCCGCCATTTCCCTTCGACCTTGACCTGACCTTTGATCTGCTCGTGCTTCTCCGGTGCATGATTGCAACGCGCCACATCGGCCAAGGCTTTGGCGAAGGTCTCGTCATTGACATCCAAAGCGTCGTCTTTCTGTACAGCTTGTGGGACTCTGGGTCCTTCAGGCCGAACATGCACTGGTCCACTACCACTCGATAGAGAGGGTTCCGCCCTGTCATGTAGCTTGTCTCCAGCGCATCAGAACCATCAGGTTGTTCCGTCAGCGCCAGACGTCCTTCTCGAGTCTGGCAATCCCAAATGTCTCGGGTGAGGCGCCAATAGGGCAAATGCTTGCGCCGAAGTTCATCCAAGGCGTCAAAGTCCTGACATAGTCGCTGCCAGGCGCACCAAGGTCCACACGGAGGAGTGATGACCACAAGCGCTGGCTTGAGGGAGCTCACCAAATTGACCACGTGTTTGCGATTTGCTGCCACCGACAAATCCCATTCCTCGCCCATGATGATGTCAATCGGTTGATAAGCTCCCCAAGGTGTGCTTTCTTCGGCCACCTGTGTAACCATGGCTGTTCCTGCGAAGATCTCCAGGACCATCCTCCGGCTGGTCCATTTTGCTACATCCTTCACCTTATCCATCACAGCCAGGGCATCCTTGATGCCTTTCTTGAACTTCTGAGTGAGTCCTCTTGCCGGCCTCGTCATGTGGCCCTCTCGCTCCTCTGCACGCCTCTGATAGAAACGCTGCAAGTCCTCCTGGTAGATCACGTTGTTCTCCTCCTGGTCGTAGTAGATGTCCGTGATCGCCTCCCCGTGCTCCTTCAGCATGTTGTCGATGGTCACCACGTCCTCCTCGGCCATGATCTCGTTCTCCGCAATCTCCGTGCAGCGTTGTCTCACATCAGATCCACTCCCACTGGAGAGCTCAGCCTCTGCCGCATTGCCCCGTAGTGCCCATACAGGCTTCCGATCTCCTTTCCCAGCAAACCCGCCAGCCACCGTCGATTCTTCTTCCACCTGGCCCCCGGCATTGACATCTCCACCGCTTGTTTGACTCGTGCCTGCCAAAAGAGCTTCTTCCACATGAAAGTGATCATCCTCGACCTCAGGCACTCCACTATGTTGAAGGGAACCTCCAGACTGTAGGCATGAGAAAGGGAAGGGTAGTCGGCCTTGAGGCCTGACAGAGCCATCGTCTCCTCCTTCTTCTGCCGGGTCACGTTCCTCTTCTCCCGACTCTTGACGATCCTCTTCATCTCCGCCTCGGTGAGGTCGATCGCTGATGCCGTCGCCGGTGGCGTATCGATGCGGTGGCTCATCACCTGGGCTTGATAGGGCGTCACTTCCTCCCACGCGCTGTTCGGACTCTCCATCTTCTTCCTGGACCGAGGTGCGCGCTTGGGAGTCTGTGTATTCTGAAGAGCTTCTAGCATCGAGACATCGCTCCCCCGTTGGCCCTTGCGGAAGCCGCTCATCTCGCTCTCGGCATCCATGGATAGGGCTCTGGCGACGTGGTCGGGGATGTCCTCGTCTGACTGAATCGTCGGACACTCCCGAGTGCGATGATCTGGATCGCCGCATACTCGGCAATGCCGCTGGCTGCCCGCGGCGGACATGGGCAGTGGCGCCTTTTCGAATTGTAGGGCTCCTTGAGCCAAGGTTCTCTGGTAACACACAAGGTTTCGCTGCACATGCCGCCGTGGTTGTGAACAACTTCATCGCCTCAACGCCTAACTCCATCCTAAAATCTTCAGGAACTTCTTCCAACGGTTGGTTATCTGTCTCAGCAATGTCCATGACGTAGTGTCCACTAGTAGTCTGTCTCAACCCATAGTTCTTCACTCCCAAGGCTCTTGAAGACAATGTATGATGTTCACAGTCAAAATTCACCCCCAGCTGTGTGCATGCATGCCGTGACAACAACGGTGGACATTCCCCCTTCACCACTGAAAAACAAAGAACCACTGGTCTTCCTGCAAACGTGGCCTGGAACTGAATCATGTACTTACTCTTCAAGGTGTCGCCACTCCCAAAACGAAAAACTTCTTCTTCAGGAAAAACCTTCAACCATCTCTTTTCCTTCTTCCATTTGGTAATCAACTGATTCGCCCATTGAGTTCCCGTGACCGACTTGAGACACCCTATGTCCAAAATAACTGCATTCTCTAACTCCTTCATGCACCACAACACATCATACTCATCTCCATCCCGTCCCATCTCCAGCGTACACGGCAGCGTCATGTATGCACGGCGGGCATTGTCTTCAGTTGAGCTACCCTTCTGGTAGCCAGAACACAAGGAAACCAGCAGATCCCATTCGTGATCCCCTGGAAGCTCCTCCGGAATGCTGCTCATAGCACTCGAGGAAACGCTATTGCCCTTCTTCTTGGAGCGGGATGCCATGAGGACCTGCTGCTGCTTCGGTTTGGGGCATTCTCGGCTCCAATGCCCTATTTCTCCGCAGTTGTGGCATGCCGTATTCCGGATCTTCTCTGCGAGGGCCTTCTTCCGTTCCTCCACCTGGTCGCCCTTGCGGTAGAATTGTCTCAGCTTCTTCACCTCTGCCATTCGCTGCTTCGCCTTGTAGTGCATGGCGTAGGCCTCCTTCTCCGCATCTCGCAGCTCCGGTGGATAGTCTCCATCAATGGACTCTGCACCCACCTCGTCCGGCTCGTCCTCAAACTCAGTCTCCTCTGTCTCGTCCTCGACATTCTCCGCGGCCAATGCTGCTCGTCCGCCTCGTCGACCTCCAACGGCTTGTTGCGCTCCGCCAGGACGTTGAAGAAGCCACTCCTCTCCATTTGCACCTGCCGTGTTCGGCTCCGATGCACCTATTGGGAAGCCACTTTCACCCTCCAGTTCTGCCGCTAACTCGATCATAGCGTTGGTGATGGACTCCTCCGTCTCTTCACCCGCTCGTGTTCTCACGAGCACTTTGTCTCGTCGAGTCAAACGTGCATGATCCAAAAGATGCCCCACGTAGAAACGCTCCCCCATCTCAAGCGTCGAGTCCAAGCCCAGCAATTGCGTCCTGTAGATGTTTCCTCTGGTGATGTAGCTCTCCAAGGACTCACCCGCAAAACGGCTCAAAGACATGAGTCGTTTGCGGTGCTGATCCACTCTGTGCTTGTCCAACTGCTTCACCAACGGGCTCTTCTCCAAGACGTCGAAGATCTTCTGCATACCTCCAGCCTTGTTCACATCGCTGTTGTTCAAGTGCTTCACCAACTGGGCAGCTCGGTCTCGGAGTTGGACCATTATCCTCGGCCCAATGTATTCTTCTGGAATCTGATGACCCTCTCCTCCAAGCCAAAACTCCAAGGACCGCCTCCAATCCCGGTAGGATTCTCCCACCTTCGCTCTGAAGATGGGAGGGTAAGAGCTGCTGACCTTTCCTTTGTGTGATCCTCCACGTTCTTCTCGATCGCCTGGACCACGAGGTTCTCGTCGTTCTCCTACCGAAGAAACTTCTCCACTTGGTGGGTTTCCATCACGGTCAAAGCCCGCAGCAGGCGGTGACCTCGGGGACATCAAGCTGTCCCAGGATCCAGCTCCTCGTTCTTGTCCCGGTGCTCCATGATCTCGACCTCCATGCCCTTGAGAACTTCGGTCTCCTCGGTCTCGTGCTCCGCCGTCTCCCACAGACCTCTCACTACCCTGCTCAGAGGACCAGTCAAATGACCAGTTCTCACCCCCATCGTAGTTTCGAGAGCTCCTCCACGACGAGTCACCATGCCACGACCAATTTTCCCAACGTTGTTGATCTTGACCTGAACTCCACCAAGACCCCCACGACCATTGACTGCCAGGGTTGGACCTATTCCACCTCCCTTCCGACAGTTGCTCCTCATCATTGGGCTCATCCGTCTCCACCCTGACCTCGAACGCCTCATAGTACGAAGTCATTGCCGCCACCGAGGCCCTAGTCGTAGTACCCCACTACGCCACCACCGCAGCCAAGCTCGCCGAATCCCTATGGCAACCACCCTGGATCGGAACCTATGCTCCGCTACCACTAAAAGGCAGCTGCGCTCCTAATCTTTTGTGCACTAGGGCCCCAATGGCTCCGGTAAAATGAATGGCCACCAGCCAACATCGGCATGATTTCACAAAAAAAATACATAATATGACTATATCAACTATTATAGATGATCCAACAATCATTATAGCTGCATCAACTATAATCATCAGCCAACAATCATTTATCAACTAGCCCTGGCCCATAGAAATAGATGGTTTACCGTTCTGAAAAAATGGTGGGTCTTTCCATGGCGAACTGTTAGTCATAAACAGATGTTTTTTTTTTAAATGTTTTTTTACCATCTGGCTATGACATCCCATCAACAAGGCGAAATAACGCACCTGTGAGGTCAGTGCGAAACAAAACGCCGCCAAAACAGGGAGCGCCTGGGTTTTCCAGGTTGTTTTCATGGGATTGTGAGAACTAAGTTGATGTAACATGACTAAAAGATAACCTGGCTCTATAATATATATATATATATCTCTATCTTATAAATGTATATTATATGTCATATCTACTATAGAAATATCATATATCTTGATAGAATTATATATAATGTGTATATATATATAGAGAGAGAGAGAAATATCATGAAACATCATATATCTTAATAGATTGGGGGGTATGAAACAACTAATAAACCAACTTATGATAGAACTATAGCTTGAAGGATCCCACCGATCGCCACTGGTTAGGATCACCACAGTTCAAATCCTTTTATATTCGAATAACCTGCCTAGGGGATTTATTAACCAGGCACTATCCCAAATGCTTCATGGGTGATTTTGAAGGTAAATGTAGGTAAATAGTATAAAATATTCTATACATGGAGCATCTGGGCAAAGTCAGCCCCCCAAAAAAGACAGTGTTTCAATGTGATTTACCAATATTTTAGTGGGACTTTGCTCGTCTTTGTGAAGGTCGCTATAACCTGCTATAACTATAACTGATATGACGAGTACTACTGTACCCTCAGAGGTCGCAAAAACGCATTCCAATGCTTGCGCTCCGTTATTACAGTTTTGGCCCGAGTTATACCACTTATATTATAAGTAATTATCACCCCATTTACAAAATGTATAATCATATAATCCCATTTATAACCAGTTATAACTAATAAATGGCCATAACTGTATAACACCAGTTGGGGATAGCTATCCCCAATTTGTCGGAAGAATGATTGTGGTTACCTCTACTTTTGATGTCTTTTTCCTTCTCAAATTGGGGATGGTTGACATTTTGGGTGGCATTTTGGATCCCATATTATCCCATGAAATCATCCCACCAAACAGGTGTATAAATCCGATGAAATCACCCGTTTTCTTCATCAAGACCATTTTAATCCATTTTAATCGTTTTGGATCCCATTACCATCTGGTTATTTAACATAGCCATGGAACATCGCCATTTGCAATAGGTAAACCCATGTAAACCATCTATTTCTATGGGCCATTTTCCATGGCTATGTTAAATAACCAAATGGTAGGGAAACGGAAAAGCCTCACACCACATGCCTTCCCTTTCGACCACCGGATCAGGGCTCCATACCCGTCGGCTCGTTCGGTGCACCATGTTCTCGTCGCGGGAAGTCTTTGCACGATGACAGGATGAAGATTGGAAGGGATTCTATTGATTTTATGGTGATTAATAGGGATTTGGAAGGGATTCTATTGGATTTTATGGTGAGTATGCACACCATCGTTTCATGAATTCGTTGAGGAGCCCATGTTGCCCTGCTGTCTCATCAATACAGGTACATATGTGCACGGGACTAATTCATCACAGACCTTCATAATGCAGCAAATTGTCATAGCATAAACATGCATAAACAGCAAATTTTCATAGCATACACATGCATAAACCTTAAGATCAGTTCAGTCACTTCACCAACACAACGTTTCTACATTCATAGACCTCCGTGGTTGGCTGTGGCTATTAGCCTCAGAGTTGGCTATGCGAGTTATGGATATTTGGAGGATCACCCAAAAAGACTCGTGTTGCTGGTGAGTGTTGCTGGGCTTAGTTCAGCCATTGATTTTATAGTGGTTCAATAGGATTTATCAAGATTTAACGGGACTTTATATATATGGGATATGAATGGGATATGAATGGGAGAACCCACTGGTAGTTTGTTACATAGCTATTGAACATGGCACATTTATATCCTGGTTGGTGGTTTCTACCTACCCCTCTGAAAAATCATGGAGTTCGTCAGTTGGGATGATGAAATTCCCAATATATTAAAAACAACAAATCATGTTCCAAACCACCAACCAGTATCATGTATAGTTGGTTTATCCCACCTGCTTGCGGGACTTACATGGACTTACGACCAGGGTGGACTTAACCGCGTACAGTGGGATGATCCTCTACCCTTGGCCCAAGGTAAATTTCTTTATATCAAGGCCAACAGTTGCATATACCCTCTGGTAAATAAACATAGACCCTGAAAATAGCAAATTTTTAATGGAAACTAGTCTTCCAACCCCTATCTGCCAGGGTCTTTGTTAATTTACCAGAGGGTAAATGCTGCATATAGCTAGTTCGTACTATGAATCAACTCAATCAACTCAACCAACTCAGAACTGGCAATCCCCAACATTTGTAACTTTGCAGCCTGGCAGTCAATCCAACCCCAGTATCATATGATATTATATGTATATATCTATTATAAACATAATAAAAAAACATGGTAAACCTAGTGATCAACAATCAACAACTATAAAAGTTGGTTATATAGTATCCCCATTTCTTTGAGGGATTTCTGTACTCACATACCTCCATTGATTAAAAGGCCCCATTCTTGATGGACAAATCCGACAAATACCAAACAGTTAAGCTGGTTCCAAGCCAACTTAGATATCAATAAATCAACTATAAATCACATTAGATTTTCATTTTCCATCATGTTTCCAAGTTTTCCCTATGTTTCCTGGTGAAATCCCTATGTGCTCCCCTCATTTCATGTGGGGTTACCAAGGCAGCAAGAGCAGACCCACATCTTTCCGGCCTCACCCAGGGAAAAAAAGGCGATGGCAGAATCAGCTGAGCCCAAAATATGGGGAGAAGGCCAGGTACGGGTCCAACCATACAGGATGGGGTCCAAAAAAGATAGCGTCCAGTTGCCTTATTTCAGTGGCTGAATTCTATGGTCTACGGTAGATATAACGAACTAGTATTCATGGGGTTTATAAACCAACTTATAGTTAATGGTAATAATAGTTAATCATTGTTATACTCAATGATTATGGGGATAAGGATTAATAATGAGATAAAGGGTATAATGATTAATAACGCCAGTTAATTATGGGGATATTGATTAATAATTGTTAATAGTGAGATATAATCCATGATTTGGTATAGGATCATCACTAACCATATCAGGTTATCAAACCCCAGGGAAAAAACACAAATATGAATTGGTAGGGTATATGGAGGTTTCCTGAAATGGAAGTACACCCAAATCATCCATTTGAGTAGGGTTTTTCCCCTATAAACCATCCAGCTAGTGGCCTAGTGGGGTAGCAACATTTATGGAAACTCCCATATGATCATGATTTTCTTTATGTAATGGGTATACTTGGAAGATCATCCCAGAGATGGCTGATTATATAGCGCTTCATTCTTTGCAAATTGAGCACTTGAGCAGTGTGAAATAAATCCCTCTGTCTTTCCATTTAATCCTGGTTGGTTAAGAACGGGATTCCCCGTTCTTGTATTATGATAATTTCCAATATGTTGGGTAGTATAATCCCAGAACTAACCATCTGGGTAAATTGTAATATTTCACTAACCTGAATAGTTCGGCCATATTGGGATGATTTCCCATAAATAAACCATGATTCCCAGTGAGGGAGAACAGGGTTCGCTCGTTATAATTTACCCAGAATCATCAACCAACCAGGCTTTAGCAGCCACTGCTCACTTGTTACCCTCTGGTAATTTAACATAGCTATTGAAAATGACCATTAATAGTGGATTTTCCCATTAAAAATGGTGATTTTCTATAGTTATGTTAGTTTACCAGAGGGTAATGCATCCCAAAGCTGTTTGATTTCTGCTAAGGTCGCATAACCTTCTGGTGCCAGTTTCTGGCTTGGCATCCCGTCGTATCTTGACTCAACTTGGCATCACCAAGTTTGGGCATATTGCTTGGGCATATGTGGGAATGCTTTAGAATCCAATACCCACCAATAAACTAACATGACTACAATGTGGGGCCCCCCAGTGCTGTTAGATGGTTTATGAACCCCATAAATACTAGTTCGTTATAGGTACCATAAACCATAGTGAAACTGGAGTTATGTGCACCAACTGAACGCAATCTATCGTCAAAGGGGGCCCCACGAGTTGTATGGAGACTCCTATGGAAAAAATAAAGGGGCTTTCCGACACGATTCATGACCCTCTGGGTTGGTAGCCTCCATGTTTGGTCAAATAAGTTAGTTATTTACTAGCCTTGGGTTAGATATGAAATGTACCATGGCTAGGCTTCTTTTGGGGTCCTACCTTTTGTTTGATCGTTACCCTCTGCTTATGAAAAACCTAGCCATGGAACATCATCAGTTTTAATAGGTAAAAATGTAAACATCATCCATAAATGGGCCATGGCTTCCATAGCTATGTTGAATAACCAGAGGGTACTTTAAACAAATGTGGCCCTAAAACAGTTCTAAATTGGATTACAACTCCTGCAACTAAGATTCTAACTCACTAAAATGAGGTTTTCTGAGCCAGTTATAACTGTTAAGGAGTTGAGGGCTATAACTGGCTACTACAAATCCCAAGAACACATACCATGTGGTTATTTAACATCGCCATGGAAAGATTCACCATTTTTAATAGGTAAACCATCTATTTCTATGGGCCATGGCCTCCATGGCTATGTTAGTCATAAGCAGAGGGTATGTTGGGGGTCTCCGCTCTCCAGCCACAATTCAGTCACAACTTTCTCTCACACGGCCATCAGGGCCGTCGCGGTGCGTGAAGATGCGATGTCAATCAACTGTGCAGATGTTTGCAATGCGGCACCCGAGTACCTTGAAATGTTCGTTGGTTGATGTTAACCCAGCCATTTTGAATATATATCCGGTAAACCCCCACCAGTTGACCTAGTGAACTGTTCACCAACTTAGCCAACCTATCAGGGCACCACCTTGTTTGGAATGAGACTTCTTGCTGGCCAGTCAGATGTTAGCTTCGTCAACACAAAAGCTTGTGGATACACAGCATACCTAGACCTAAGACCCTCATGTTTTTCCGTGGAAAAAATGTGAAACGCGCTGGCAGCTTGGAGCAAAACTTCAATGTGTATGTGATTAATGAGAGTCTGAGTACATCTCATGGAGAAGTAATCACTATCAACCAGTATCAATTTTAATGGGAACTAATCACTATTGATTACTATTACTTCCCATTAAATGTGAATAAAACTATATAGATATGGGAATCTTTGCTTGTCTCCAGAATGGCTGCCATGTCGAGAGTGTTACCACTTCCTTGTCATGTGACATAATGTGACAAACATCCATCATCTGGGCAACTTAGAATAATGCATAAATTGGAAAATCAGCTTTTCATTACACTTAAAGCCTTCTACCATCTATAAACGGTAATAAATAGGGTTATACACTTATACATTCCATAAATGGCTTAGAACTGACTTACAACTGGTTAAAGGGCCTTAACTGTATGGGTTACTTTTGATTATCATTTGAAAATAAATGATATGAGAAGCGATAGTTATCAATGTATAACCCACTAGTGATAACTATTTACTATTTGTTGGGGTACTGATATAGTTATATATGCCCTAAACTTTATATAATGAATATCAATAGTGAGGTCATAGATTTCTTGGGGTAACTTCGCTCAACATCAGCTAACATCACTGTCCTGATTCGCCTACTGTGCACCGAAGATGTACAGTATCATGAATCTGGGTAAATTATAATAATTCCATATATAATGTTATATATATAATCTGGGTATCATGTAATGTTATACAATGTTATATATATATGGGTAAATTATCATAATTCACTAACCTGAAGAGTTCGGCCATAAAAGGGGATGATTCCTCTATAAAAACCATGATGCCAGGCTTCGGGAGAACAGTGAGATCTCAAATCCTGTAGCACCACAAGAAGTCTCAAGTTGGCACGAACGCTGTGAGGCTGCCGAAAAAACGTTACGGCGTAACGGTTTCAACAACGTTCGGTTGTCAAAATTGAAAACCTGCAGGAAACAATGGTTTTTCATGGTTTTTATAGTTTTTAGCCGCAAACAGACGGGTTTCCTGCAAAATCTTTCAACCGATTCTTGGAACAAGAGGTTCCTGTTCAAACTTTGTGATGTTGACTTGTTGTCAGTTAAAACTTATCGAATATCTTATGTGACAAAAAATGACTCAAAAGCACAGCTTTGAACAGGCTTTCTCAATTAACATCCTGGCAAAAAAAAACACATTAAGAAATCTACTCCAATGTCAAACTCTGAATGTCCTTGGCTGTTTACTTGGCCATTTAAATTCATTTCAGCAGCTGATAAGGGGATCCTCCCGATCCTCAACCAGAGGTTACGAACGGTGTGATGTTCTAGGCCGGCGCATGAAAGAAAACGTGGCCCGCAACATGAACCGGGAAAACATCGCCAGCTCATAGCTGCAGAAAAGGAGAAAAGAAATCAGCTTAATGATTTAATGACATTTAATGCGACCCAGACTTCAACAGGCTGAAAATCAACACCACTGCGTCACCCTCACAGCTTACCGTCGCCAGCATCGCCAAGTGCTGCTTCTCCGGCCCATGCCGCAGAGCCGCAGAGGCAGCGAAGACGACAGGACTCCCGTTGCAGAAGGAACGAAGGGAAGAAAGCTGTCGATGGGATATATGGATATACAGTTACGGCCCTTAAAAGTTTGGAATGGGATTATAACATATTATAACTCCTGTAACTAAGGTTATATCGTTGGGAACCAGTTATAAATGTTAAGATAGGAATGTCCAAACATTCCGAATCAAATCCAAAAAATCCTAGTAAATCCCAGTAATACTTTGCTGGTGATTCATGCTGCTACTTATGCATGTTCAACCCCCTGGTACATACAAAAATGAATGTATTCAGTGGGGCCCCCAACTCACTAACGAAATATAGCGTTCAGTTGGTGCAAATGACTCCAACAATTATGGTTTATGCTACTTATAACATCTTATAACTAAAAAAACGTATTCTAATGGGCTTTATCAAGCATCATTCACATCACTGATTTGGGTTTATAAACCAACCGTCATGAAAACCACTTATTAAACCAAGCAACTCACTGGGGCTTTATGACGCGTCCAATACACTGGGGTTTTTTCTAAACCAACCGTGTGACTCAGTGGGATTTGTGGGATCCCACCTTGCATGGATCATGTGGAACCGAAGACTGTTGCGGAGCAGCATCAAATCATGTGGCGAAGTTTGGATACTCAAAATAATGATGGTTATATAATGATATGATGGTATATATAGTTATTGATGGTTATACAATGATGGTAAATAACTATAATGTTATATAATGATGGTTTAATAATTAAAATAATGATGGTTATATAATGATGGTAAATAGTTATGATGGTGAATAATGATGGTTTAATAAATATATGGTTAATGATGGTTAATGATGGTAAGTGGAATAATGGTATATATATAGCCAGTGGTTAATCTTAATGGGATAAGATCATGGCTTCTATAACTAATGGTTTATGGATTCTTGGTTTGGGATATAAATGGAATATGAATGGCATCTAATAATGGATAATAATGGATAATAATGGATAATAATGGATAATAATGGATAATAATGGATAATAATGGATAATAATGAATAATAATGGATAATGGGATATAGAATACATAATATAGTTGGATAATATTAATATTAATAGTGGGCTGGTTGGTGGTTGACCTACCCCTCTGAAAAATGATGGAGTTCGTCAGTTGGGATGATGAAATTCCCAACTGAATGGAACAATAAAACATGTTTCAAACCACCAACCAGTGTTGCGTTTTGGTAGGGATTGTGCTGGATACCCAGCAAACAAAAACATGTAAGTGAGTATCCTTGCTTCCTCTTTGCGTCTCAGCATCACCCTCGGATGAAACTGGGATGCACCGTATCTTAAAGATATAAGCACAACAACATTATACGGATAATTCTTTAAACAACCCAGAATGTGTTGCAAAACCTTGGGGTGTTCGGCAAGTCAACAAACAAGGTGCGGGTCCATGTATATGGTCTTGTTGTATTAGACAAATCATTTGACATTCCAGAATGTCTCTGGCTGTCATTGGGCATCCAGGTTCACGCTTTGAATTTCTGTGACAAACCACTTTCACTGAGGCATGAGAAAATATGTGTATCTATGTATGTATATATATATATGTGTGTTTTTTACAGCCTGCATATGATATGATACTGTTATTATATAATGTTATATATCTGGTTAAATTATAATATTTCACTAACCTGAATTAAGGCCATTTGGGGATGAATTCCCTTATTAACCATGATTTCCAGTGAGGTCGCAGTGAGGTCCTTATAATTTACCCATATATATATACATATATACATATATATATATATTGATTATATATATATATATGGGGTTCTGAAACTGGGAGGTCCCCAAGTCACCATGGGTTTGAAGAGTAAATGATCTACTGATGTTAATGTGAGGGTACCCCCATTGAAATGGAAATACTCATGAGATTGTATGCTCATTGAGTATGCGTAACATATACTTTGGAAAATAACACCAAAACAACAGACCTTTCCTTTGCAGCATTTGCAGAACTTGGGAAACACAGGAGTGTCAACAGAGTGTTGCATTCTACCTTCGCAATGAGAGCCTCATGGACAGTGGTGGCATTGACTCAAAATTTTGAGACGTGAAACGCACCCCCCCAATTTGTTCCTTCAACGAGTTACAATATCTTGGGGAATCAGGGTTCGGATTGGGTTTTGCCATCATTTCTCGCTCATTGGCAGCTGACTTTGCCAACCTAATTTTGGGTCAACAAGCCACCTGCCTTGACCACCATGGATCAGCAGGCCTTCTACTACCTATGATGTCATGGTATCAAGACACGAAATGACCTGCCAAGAAACCCAAGCGTTGGTAACTTGACAGAGGCCGAAATCTTCACGCAGTTCAAATATAGCTCTGCTACGCAGCATGCAGACCCGCTTTCTGTTTCATTCTCACAAAACAAGGAAACAACGACACAATGCTTCAAATCCGTTTCATCAAAACAGGGTGGGCACATGGATCAAATCAAAAAAACCTGCCATGAAAACCCAAGGCGTTGTCATTGGGGCGACTCAAGCCCATCCAGTTCCCCATGTACCGTTCACCCCGCTTTTTGGGCAACGACAGATTACAACTGCCGACAAACGCTGCTTTACGATGCCACGGACGTCACAGCGATGTCCGACCGGCAGCATAGGCAAGCAGCAACCGGTCGAGCGTCTCTACAAAGGACGGATCTTTCTTGAAAGGAAAGAGACTCACCAGCCAAGAAAAGCCTTGGCAAAGTCATCAGGTGACACCACCACCCAACATGTTTTCACGGGGAATCGGAGATACCCTGAGAAAATATGTGTTAGCTGAGTAGTCAGGTCACGTCCGGTAAGCTGAATTCTTGTTGCGCAATGGTGGCTGCCTACCCCTGCCATTACCGATGCCAACATGATAACATCCATAATACTTACCATGAGGCCTGCACGTGTATTGGTCGACTAGCCATTTTACCCACTTGGTGGGCCATCATGGGTAGTTCCGTTTTTTTTTTCTGATTTGTCGATTAGTCCCCCAAAAATGCAGATCCATGCAAACACCAACCACCTGGAAGATGCCTCTTCATACCGCCGGATGAAATCCACGTTGTAGCCAATTAAATGTAGTACTTTAATTTTTCTTGCTTATATATGGTTACATCCACACTTATGGCCCTTTACCACTTATCAGTACTTATAATTCCATTTATGAAATGTATACTCCGAAAGAAATACGAAGTTATATATAGCTAGTAGCCATGGCCATTTCATTGTATAGTATCCCACTATTATCCCATCAACTATAGTTATATATATATATCTACCATAAACAATAATTACCCTCTGGTAATTTAACGTAGCTATTGAACATCACCATTTTTAATGGGAAAATCCACTATCAATGTGGTATTTTCAATAGCTATGTTAGTTTACCAAAGGGTAAGTCACTGATAAGGCAACCAGAAGCAGCACATTTTGGCAGCGAAAGCCCAACAAAAACAGCCTCTGAAACAGCGCTGGTAAACGCTTCAACGCCAAGTATCTCATCTGCCCCAAGACAGCGTCCAAGCTTTCTGGCACCTGCCCGGGTGAACTTATAATGGTTTATGGTAGATATATTATAGAACTATATATAGTTAATGGGATAATAATGGGATAATAATGGGATAATAATGGGATAATCATGGGATATTCTACAGTGAAATGGCCATGTATTAGTTATAACTGGTTATTTCTATGGGATTATACATCTTATAAATGGGATGACTTAATACTTATAAGTGGTAGGTAAAGGACCATAACTGTGGGGACTTGAGACGTAAATCTTTGGTCAGGGGATTTACGATTTCAGATGTTCCCAGAAATTTCAAGTACTACAGTCTTTTTAAGGTAAGTACTCCTTATGTCGTTTCCAAAAATATGGAACCAGGCAGGAGGTTGGTCTACACAAAAAAACTGCCAAACGTCAAGACTCCTTCCCACACGTGTGTCGATGATTTACCCGCTTACCCTATTTCAATGGCCATTTTAGGAACCGATTTATTGGAGGGACCTACCATATATAAGGCCTATTTTTCAGGCCTATGTAAGGGGATATACCCACAAAATATAGCCAAAAATATGGTACGGACGTACCTCCATTTTAGGATCCTGGAGATCTCCCATTGACTATTTGTTTTGGTGACCACTCTGGGAGTGTGAAAAAAACCCGCTGGCGGTCGTCCCTTTTGATCCTGGCTGGCTGAATGGAGAACTCCAGCTCATGGATTGTGATAATATTTCAAATGGTACCCTCTGGCAAATTAACATAGACCCTGGCAAATAGGACTTGGAAGATTAGTTTCCATTAAAAATTGGTTATTTTCAGGGTTTATGTTTATTTACCAGAGGGTATAACCCATAAAATCATCAACCAACGGGGTGGTTTTCAACACTGCCCAACTGTGAACCCCCATCTTGATCATCATGGTTGGTTCTCTTCCCGGCGCTTGTTTCGCAAGCTTTAGCCAGGCCATATCCTCAGTCGGCCCTCACTAGAGTTGGTATCACCAATCATGAATCAAGAGGGGCTTGAGGTACAATGTCGGTACCCCAAAGGATAGCGTTCAGTTGGTTTATAAACACCATTGTATAACTAGTTAAAAGATGTTATGAGTTCCATAAACCATAGTTATCGGAGTTATAAACCAATTTAATCCAATTTAGCTATCCTTTGGGGGCCCCACTTTGTACCTTTGAATTCTTCTGGGCAAACGATCATATTTGACTCTGGATCACTTTCGCCTTGGAATACCCTAGTTACTGGTCACGCCAGCTTATAGCTGGTGTCTCACCTCTTGCATCTCCCAGGTTAGGTAGGAAATCAAACAACTCCTGCCACTGTTATAGGACAGTAAATCAACTTAGTAACCTATCCCCTTTTCTGGGGTCATATTTGACATAACAACAATTCATCGTTTCAGACCGTTTCAGGGGAGGAGAATTTGGTGTCTCCCATCTGGAAATAGGTCTGTCACAAAGAAACTAAAGCGGCAAAACATCTATAATTAATGATTGTACATAATGGTGGGTAGGATTTAGTGATATGTCATCATTTCTCTGAAAATAAGGTGGAAATAATTTGCCAAAGTCCTATGGTCAATCCTCATCTTTCGTCTTAGCATACCCGAGTTTCAATCGCACCGGAGCCGAGTTGACCTTTCGGTGATAAACCCAATGCCATAAACAACTCCCACAAAAAAATGGAGGTTTATGACATTGCGACCATGGAATACCGCCATTTAGAGGATGAAGTGACCCCAAATGATTCATAGGATGGTTTATCATTGAGTTTCCCACAGTATAAAAACCATCCACCAACCATCATGTATCAACTACAGTATAACCCCCGTTT